GTGAAACAAAAACAAAATTTACAACACTAAGCAGTGCTTTTTACATTTTAAGAATAATTATTCATTTTTCTTGATAAAACTAAAATTCCCCGCGAGGCTTTAGCCGTCGACTCCATCAGAATTCCATCTGGAAAGCAATAACGGAAACGAAGAATCCGTAAGCGATGGCGAGACACAAACACAATGCACTGATATAAAGAAACCCAAACAAGTTGCATTCTTGTTGCTGATTCAAATATGGATTAATGCATTAAGCAATGGTGTCATCCCTTCAATTCAACCGTTTGCCTGTATACCTTACGGCAACAATATCTTTTATTATACGCTTATTTTATCCAATGTTGCCAACCCTTGCTCAAGTTTACTGTTTCATTGGGTTCCGACAACTTAAGTTCTGTTCATTGGATTACTAAGTATGGTGTATAGCAGTTTTGTAACTTATATTGTGTGCATCGCATCTCTCGTTCTGATCCACCATTGACGGAGAACAATATTGGTGCAATTATCATTGTAAGTGTATAACGAAAGTTTTCTTGATCTTGTTAATCACGTGAAGAAATTTCTTATGTTAATTAATGTATTTCATAATTTAATATTTAGGTCACAATGAATGTGTTAAGTGTTGCCATAGTCACCTACACTAAAGTTGCAATTTCAACTTGGATGCAGAAAGAAGGAAAACGTCATCTGCGATGGGCAGGAATTTCCATGCAGTCTGGCTCGTTCTTTGGAGCTGTGATCATATTTTTATTTGTCAATGTGTTTGAAACCTTCTCGAGATGTTAACATGAAGGATTCTTCTACACATGTGACATCAATGGACTATAAATGTCAGTCTGTTCCACACAACCTCTTTAACTGACCTCCATACCCAAAATTTTTTAATAAAGATGAAGATATAAGGAAATAAACAAAAGGAGCAAATAATTTTACTTAGAGCTGTATTGCTATAAAATATCTATGATAACAGATCCAAGGAAATATTTATACAGATTAATCATGACAGGTGATAACATTTGTCAAAGTAAGCAATCAGATTGTGCTCTCCAGCTGAAGATTTATAGAGATAAAATATTAGAACTTAAATATATCATTATGTAAAAGACTATTATGGTTTTTCATATTCATCTTGTATCTTTTCTACCCAATTCTAAAAATAAAGTTAGCCAAGGGAGGGTTATGGTAGAAGTTGAGTTTACTAAGTATTCAAAAACAACAACTTCGATGACTATTGGGTTTCAGGAAACATCAAACATTGTATACAATAACCTTATTGGGTTACATTGTTTAGTTTTGCTGTATGTTTTATTATCATATAGGAATGGTTCACCATTATATTTTGTTCTTCATTTCACATGGGTCATGTGCATGTTGTAGCACCATACAGGAATGGTTCACCATTAATTTTGTTCTTCATTTCACATGGGTAAAGTGCATGTTGTAGCACCATACAAGAATGGTTCACCATTGATTTTGGTCCTTTCACTTGGCTCATGTGCATATTCAACCATTATACAAGAATGCTTTACCATTATTTGTTGGTTCTTCCATCACTTGGATTGTTTGATTGTCTTAATAATAAATCATATTCCTTCAGCTGCCTCCAAAAACCTTCATTAGGTTTTACTGTTGGTCGTGCTTTCTTTACCAAATGAAATGCATCATCTAACCCAATATTCTTAGATTTCATAAGGTAAGCAATGACAACAGTCGAAGACCTGGACACCCCTGCATTGCTGGACATTTAAAGGAAAATCATTTCATTGGCTGAAAATTTTTTGCTGCATAAGCAACAATTTTTAGTTTAATGGCCATCATCTATAAGTTACCTATGCCTCCAATATGAAACGCAGGCTTTAATTAACATTTCAACAAGTTAACAGTGAACATGCTGGTTCAGCATTTGTTTTTTGTAATCAAATTAATATCTTCCATGAGAACATATATTGCGTTGAAAAGCATGTAGAAAAACCTACATGTTTGTATGTATTGATCATTCAGGTTAATTCAGTTGATGTTGACTGATGTTTTGACGTCCTCAGATGTAGTCATCTTCATGCAGTCAAGTTCAAAGTAAATAATTATTGCTAAGTACGTTAAAAATCAACATGTAATAATAAAAATATTCAAAGTTTAATTCATTCATTTGAAAACCTAAAATCTTACCATAATAACCTTCACAATACACACACATTAAGAATATCAATGGCCATTGCCATTTTACACTTACCAATGAACCAAAACCTTTCCATCCTCCAGTCCCTTTTCAATGAATGAGGACAGCTCAGCAAAATGCTGATCTATTCTTGTGTCAGGTAAATCCAAAATTTCTACTGTTTTGTACTGAAACTCCTGAGAGAAAAATCAAAATTTGACATAAACAGAGCCTAGAGCTAAAATTTGAAATCCACCATATAAGTTATACTCACATTTGGAAATTGATTTACAATTCCTGTGGCAACATTAACAATATGAGTAATTTTGTGCAGCCTTAAATGTTCAAGATTACAAGCTCCATCTTGTGAAGAAATGTACAAGTTGTCTGCTACATGATATATCTTGTCGTCAATACTTGTATCTATGCAATAACCATCGACTTTACCAATTACTGCACAGACTTTGTCCCCACAAGTCAAGTTGCTTGTTAAAACCTGAACAAAGAAAAAGGTTTAAATCTACTTTTATTAATCAAACACACTACCAAGTACATTCATACAAATTAAAACTAATACCTTTGTGCCATCAGTATGAGTTGAGACAGTCGAGACGTGCTTCAGTTATGTTTTAACAAATATTTCATCAGCAAAACTCATTCTCACTTCCCAGTAATGGAAAATTTGACCATTTCGACAATTTTATCCGCACATTTGAATAATATTTTAAGGATAAAGTACGAGTATAAACAATGTATAATAATTAGTGTGACGAAATCGTCTGTATCCGTTCTTTTCTGAACTAAAGATGGTGTGTAGTGTGAAACTATATGATTTTGTAATTATGCATGTTTACGTGAGCATGTTCATTGTTTGAGAGATATAACACGTAGAAATGACATCGGTGCATCAAATTTGTTTCCATAAAATGAAAGATATATCGAGGTTTCACTAAATTAACCAAGGTCAAGTAGCAACCAGAAAGATTAAAGGAAGGGGGGGGGGATGCACATTAAAGAAAAACAAAATCACACTGTTGATATTATAGGCAATTGAACATACGTTAATATTTTGTACACCACAAAATGCACGTATATAGAGCGTACCTACCTCAATACAAAGAAACAAACACGTGATTCAGTGACAGTTCATAACATGGAGACCTTATGAATGTATAGGGACCATTGAGTTCTATAAGACCTGGAGGGGAAACGTCAACCAAATTGCTATAAATTATTAGCGCGCGGCCGCGTGGTCAAAAACATGGCGGATTTTGGTTGTCAAAGTCAGCGGAAAGACGCGGGCTCATAAAATGAAATTTTTTCGCCCACCCGGATTTGACAACCACAATTGCGATTATATAAAATATCAATGCCAAGCACAAAACTTTAGAATTTTATCTTTAAAACATGCTGCAAACTTGTTTGGTATACGGATGCTGATGCCAGAAAAGCAATGACGTAAAAGATTGTTTACTATTTAAAGTGTTCAGTGTTTTGTTTTAAGTCAATACTTGAAGTGTGATGGCATATATTTTGTGAATGTTTTTACTCCTAAGTTATAATTTAAGTTATGTTTATCCAGTCTTATTTGTTCTTTACTTAATCGCTTGCTAGACGAGGCAAAGCAACCAGTTCTTATCGAGATATGCATATCTTAAAACTCCTTGTTTCAACTGAGTTGAAATGGAGGATTTTCATGATATTTTTCTGAAAATGAAGCAAATATTAAGGACAGAGCTGTATTGAAATCAAATGCAGTGCAGGATTAATTAATGAGCTCTTTGGTACATGTCGTACAATAAAAATACCTGTATTAAACAGCTAGCTGTTGATGGTGTGTAAGGTTTTGCTTTATGCTAAATTTTTATGCCATCTGGTGTTTCTGTAAATGAATTGTTTGTTACACAGTGTAGTAAACAGGTTAGTACATCAAAATCAAGATAAAACTACTTTGTTCAATAAATGTGCCAAATTCTTACCTTGAAATATTTGCTCAAGAAAAGCTTATCATGACATGCATGAAACATTAAATACAGTACTGCATCATCTGACAAAATCCATATGTTTTCAATTCCAGGTGATTAAAATTCACATAAGATGCATTGGTTGCAATGAAGTTGAATGTGGAAGAAGCAAAATTGATGGCAAGAACTTTTTATGTCTTTTGAAGAATTCTGATATCATTTAAAAGAATAAGAGTAGCAATCTAGTAAAAGAAGCGACATCTGTCTTCAACATGAGACTTTTCCAATTATGTGTAGTTACTTTGTACAAAATACTATTTTAGATAAACTTGATTTTTAAGTCATTCACTGATATTTTTACCAAAAGACAAAAAGAACAATTCAAAGGCATAATGTAAAATTCAAAAATTTGTCAAGTTGTTCGAACCTAGAAAAAATTAGTATAGGTAACTGTAATTTGTAAGGACACAAAAGAAAAGTAGTGCAAGAAGGTTAGCATTTTTGAGAATTAATAAGTTCTTGACATACATTACACAAGGCCATAATATTATAAATAATGTCTGTATAATAACAATTATACAACATGCTAAATATCTTCACCTACATTATAATTATTTCAACAGGTTTGCCTTCATGCAGCAATAAGAAAAGTGTTATGTCAGAGAAACCAATGCACTTTGATTTAAGAAATAGTATTTTCAATTGGAAATTAATGTAGTTCTGTTCAGTAGTAGATCCATGGTTGTCAATAACAATCCATTTTCTAATATCTTGGCTCAAAACAGAACCAGCAACATGATTATAGAATTTCTGAATTTCGTTCTTTTGCTCTCCTAGTTCAAGATATTTTCCTCATAAGTTCTCAGTAGATTTATCAGAATATCATAATACTTTATAAGACACCCAGAATCAATCCTACCAAAAAAAACTCAAAAAAATTACATACCTACTTATAATATATTTCCAGTTGACTTAAGTCGTAGGGGTAAGCTAACTTTTCTAACTCCTTTTTGGACATTTTAAGTAAGATTTACCCATCTATTCAAGAAAGACAGTTGCACCAAGCTTTTAACAAACAGTCAAAAAACAAGCAATGCGCATGGGATTATGCATTAAAGCAACGACACATTGACAGTGTAAAGAATGCCGTTTTATATTTATTTCTAATATAGCTAAAGCAATACTTGAAAAAATATACGTTATTTTACAGTAGATTTACCTCATTTAAATGTGTATGTCTATTTCACAAAAACCTGAAGCATTATTTTCAATATTTTATGCTTACGGTATCGTGGTTGTTTTGGCTGGTTGTCATTACTATGAGCAGTGTTAGAGTTCCGGTTTCGGGAGGGCAGATGTTAAAATTTTTCTCAAAGTGGAAGTTTTGACAACCAAAATCCGCCATTACCGCCATGTTTTTGACCACGAGGCCAGAGGCGCCCCTCCAGGTCTTTTAGAGCTCAATGTAGGGACATGGAGGTGTAGTGCACTGGGTGTCTACGGCCCCTAGTTCCTGCACTGACTAGTAATTCAATAGAACCACAGTTACGGCCTAAACGATTTTAAAGATGCACTACTTGTGGCCTGGGACAAAGGAAGAAACTTGCAGACAAGAAAGTCTAATTAAGTGGCTAACTGCAGGCTAACTACGACAAGGAATCTCTCATCACCTAAAATTCTTAACATGGTCATTTTCCCATTCTTGCACTCTTTGTCTGTTCCATTTAGCATTTTGAATGTTATCAATAATTTTATTTGTTAGAACTTATTCACAAAGATGTCTAAACTTTTAATTTGCAAAATTGGATGCAACAATCTTTGTTTAATATGTTTTCCTTGTGTCTTGAAACATGTTTCCTTGTGTTATATAAGCATGATCATCGTATCTAAAATGATTAGAAATATTGACAGTGAAATAAAGAAAGGTAATGAATTTAGGGTGCCACCAAAAACGAATGAGTTTCAGACTTTCAACCAGTGATTCAGACTAAACAAATGTAGTTTTGAGCTGAAAACGTAACAATCGTCAACTCTTGGATTAATGTTAATTCTGCATTATAAGAAAAGACGTAATTTTACTACAACAAATAACCTTGAAGTTAGGATGTTTTTACACCGAGATCGAACTGCCTTATGGGATTGACTAAAGCTCTACTTCTTTGACCTTAAAACTTTGACCTCAGTTGTGTTTTTTTTTTCTTGATGTGCTTCATTGCATTACTTTGTTTTATCTTTTGTCTTTGTTTTGCTTAATATAAATATGTTAAAATATAAAACTAGGCGTTGTTATGCTTTGCTCTCAGCTTCCGTGTTTATCAAACGTAGACTGAAAATTTTAACCTATCTTTTAGCTTCAACTTTTAGTGATAACAAAATTTCGTCAACTCCTGGATTAATTTTGATATTAAATTGTATAGGAAGACGTATGAAATGGCTTGTCGTCCTAATGTTTATGAAAGTGGATATGAAGAATCGAGATTTAAGATTGCTGTTGATGAAAATTTTACTGTTCAATTTGTCTGAATGTCATGAAAGATGCCAGAATGTGCCATAATCAACACAGTTTTTGTCGTGAATGTATTGAAGAACATCTACGAGTTAATGCACAAAGATGTCCTCAATGTCAAGATAATTTAACTGTAGCTACGCTTCATCCAGCGCGTGTTATAAATAACGTGATTTCAAAGTTAAAGATCAACTGCGACTACGCCAGTCGTGGTTGTCCTGAATTTATAAATGTCGAAGATCTTGAAAGACATGTTGAAAATTGTGGTTTTGCTCCAGTGTTGTGTTCTAATGAACGTTGTGGTCTGGAAATAAACAAACGAGACAAGATTAAACATGAAACTGAATTATGTGAATACAGAAAGATTGCTTCTCACGACTTTCGAGAGATTAGCGAAATGTTTCAACGAAGTTTTGAAGACAAAATGGAAATGCAAATGAACAACTTAAGCAGGAAAATAGACGAAGAATTTATTGAAGTAAAAGAATCAGTGAAACCATTGACATCTCAGTATAAAGAAATGATGGAATCTAGAAGGGAAGTAGAAAATGTTCAACAAAATCTTTCTACAGTGACCAAAGAAATGATGGAATCAAGAAAGAAATAAAAGATCTTCAACAAAATCTTTCTGCAGTGAACAAAGAAATGAAAGAAATGAAAACCGTGATGTTTCAAATGTTAGAAAAGATGAATATAAATGAACAACATGTTCAAACATTGCCATCATCAATTGAAATGGTGATGAACTCTGTAAAAGGTGATATTTTGATTGCTGGAGGTTACACACAAGATTCCATTAAGAGTGTTGAAATATTTTCATGGAAGGAGGAGAAATGGTTTAACATTGCATCAATGGAAAATGAACACAGGCGGGCTTCATCGTTTATTTATAAGAATAATTTATTTGTTGTTGGAGGATATTGCTGCAAGTCAATGGAGACATTGAATATAAAACAGTCTCGACATGGAGATACCTGCGAGAGCTTCCCTTATGAATGTTGGGATAATCAAACTGTTGTTTATAAACAACAAATCCTTCACATTGGAGGATGCATTATTGGCAAACGACTATCAGATTTGATCAGTGAAATAAAGATAAATGGTACAACATTTCATGTTTTGAAAGAGTTGTGTCATATGCCTGAACCACGTCAGTGCTATGGAGCTGTTGTTGTTGATGATAAAGTTCTTATTTTTGGAGGAGATGGAAAAGATCAGAAAGTTTGTCCAGTGTTTTGGAATCCAAGGACTCTTTTTGAAATGCCTCCATTCTTATCCATTGACTCAAATGGCAACAGTTCAATGGAGAGATCAAGTTGTTCTTCTTGGAGGTTATGATGGAAGAGAAAATTTGAACAGTGTTATCATGTATGACAGCAAAAGGTAAGATTACAGTCTTACCATCCATGTTGGAAAAGAGACAGGGGTGTTGTGCAGTTATAACAGGTGATACAATTGTTGTCATGGGAGGTGTGAATGATAAAGGTAATTATCTTCATTCAGTGGAATGTTTTAAAATGGGAAGTAGTTCTTCATGGACATATCTTCCTTCAATGAGATCCACGATACTTGTGTCCAAATGAGTTTTTGGACAAAAGTATGTATAAGCAAGAAAACGTTCATCAAACGTTATAACTTTAAGTAGCTTACACTGGATGATAAATATGTAAAGTTAAATGTGTAAACCTTTATAGCTTGTTGAAAATTATTTCTCCACTGATTCACTTTAATGATATACATACTGTATTATATAAATGGTATTTTTCAAATATATTACATGGCTTTGCTTACATCATTATTAAATTATGCGTTGAATTTGTTTCGACTATTTTACATGAAATATATAAAATAATGAAACAGAGACTTTGTCGTGGTGACAAACTTAAAGATGGATTTTAAAATAGCAAATACCATGGTGAATGGTGATAATAACAATATAATAGTTCTTAAAAGAACTGTTTTAACCATAAAACTAACCCAACAATTCAAAGGAACCGTTATTTACAGCTAGAAAGAGACACTATGCATTTCGGCAGACTCGTCAGATGTCAACGTCTGCTAAATGAAAACTCAAATCATGCTACATTTATAATGTTACAAAAGGTCAATGTCATCCCTATTTTTAAAGATACACAAAACAGAGACAGATTAAACACGTAATCCTTTTGTCGGCAAAGGACAGGATTAGTCAATTTAATTAATACCGACTCCATGACGCCTATCTGGAATAACGAGCGACATTTTTTAATAATTTTAAAGTTTTCATCAGAATAAGCATTGGTAGAGCGAGTGTTGCTTAACAGATGTTTTCCAATTGCTGAATCACATAGAATCGTATTTTTATTTTTACACCCACGTTTTGGTAGTTGTCGTAAAGGAACAGTTTTATTCCTGACAGAAGCTGGTACATGTTCTTTTATTCTTTCACTCAACCTTTGAGAAGTCCTACCTACATAGCGAGCATCACACTCACATTTAAACTCGTGGACTACATTGCTTGATATTTGAGAAGGGAGATACTCTTTGGGAGTGGGTGGAGTATAGTTCTTTTAGAATATAAGAGACATTGCATGCAAAAAATCTCAGTGATATTTTAGTTTCCTTCTCAATGTCATTAGAGGCCTAGAGAATAAAAGAGCATGTACCAGCTTCTGTCAGAATAAACTGTTCCGATTCTATGTATTCAACTTTGATAAACATCTTTGAACAACACTCGCTCTACCAATGCTTATTGATGAACTCAAATGCATTAAAAATAATCGTCATTTGATATTATAAACTGTCCCCGACAAAGAAAAGTGTTTAATCTGGCTGAAGTGTCATCTCTAAAAATAGGGATGACATTATTGTAACATTATAAATATAGCATGATTTGGAGTTTCTCATTTAGCAGACGTTGACACCTGACGAGTAGTCTGCCGAAATGCATAGTGTCTCTTTCTAGCTGTAAATAACGGATTACGTGTTTAATCTGTCAGTGTTTTAAGTGTCATCTCTAAAAATAGGGATGACATTGACCTTTTGTAACATTATAAATATAGCATGATTTGGAGTTTCTCATTTAGCAGACGTTGACACCTGACGAGTAGTCTGCCGAAATGCATAGTGTCTCTTTCTAGCTGTAAATAACGGTTCCTTTGAATTGTTGGGCTAGCTTTCTGGTTAAAACAGTTCTTTAAGAGCTATTACATTGTTATTATAACCATTCACCATGGTATTTGCTATTTTGAAATCCATGTTTAAAGTGCTTATATTACGAATTTTAGCCCCCCTTTTTTATGAGCTTCATTGAAAATTTGGATTATTTGAAGAACTATGACATGTCGCTGGACTTAAACAGATAAATATAAGTTCCTTAATTTTGCCTCCAAAGTCGAGTACTATTTGCGAATTTTTTACGACGCCATATTGATACTTGTGACGTAGATAGTTTAACACGTCTGTTTCCGTCAATATAATATTATATTATAGGAGGTGATTTTGTTGTCGTTTTTTTTGTCTTAAAAACAAGTAATGACAGTATTTTCAATAAAATATTAAAAAAATATCAATTTTCCGGAAAGTATGGCTTCAAATCAGTGCTCAGATAATTCGAATTCGATGTCTGAATGCGTATCTGATTCGAGCTCGGAATCCGTGGGTTATGTCGAGCATTGAAACGACTTAGCATATGATGATGAACCGCTCGCAGGAGATGGTGATGAAGTGCATACTCCAGATGATCTCGATGGAATTCTCCCTGCGACATTAGAACAACGAAGTGATGGCGTAATTCCACTCGGTGAATGGTAAGTTGTTGTTTTCTCCTGTTTGTAATAGACATAAAGTTACTTTATAAACCACAATGCTCCCACGTTTCAGGTGTAATTGTCAATGCTGTCATACCGATTTGTTAGAAGGCGCATTAGAGTACAGATGCTGTAAGGAAATAGGACCAGCTTTGCAGAAAATGACATTCGATGGCAGCATTGAGAAAGAATCATGCATAACACAGCATGCCAAATTTGGGCCTTTAGTTCATGAGGCTGTTCTTGAAAACGTCGGGCCACTATTGAGAGATAGGAATGGACGTGCTTATCGCCGCCAAGCATCACAATCATTAAATATGTAAGATTGTAAATTGTATGAGAAACAATGTTATCATCAACATTGTTTCATCAACAATAATTAGTCCAACCTTTTTATTTACTTCAGGTACTTGAGAGCTGTGGCATACAGATGGTTAATGCGATGGTTTTGTGGGTCTATGGGATGGGAGAATACTCGGCCTACCTGCTTGTGTTTACCACTTTATTCGGAAAGCATATCCAAGTGGTAACACAACAGGTTACTCTATCAGAGGGGCGATGATGGAATAGTCTTTTAACTTGTGCACTGTAGAGACTGTTGACCTTCTTTGCTGAGTTTGGAATGGTCAGGAAATATGCCTAGATGAAACCAAATAGGAGATACATGGATGCACTATATAAGTTGACATGCAGTTTAATGGTTTGAAACAAGAGTGAACAATAAAAATAAATTGGTGCAACTACTGAGAGGTTAAGCTGAAAGAATTAAATGAGAAAATCTTTTCTTCAATGTCAGTTTTGGAAAAAAGACAAAAGAAAAAATATATAGAATTAAATCATAGCATAAATGTAAAAATGGAAAATTGCAAGCCGTTCAAATGGCGAATCGTTTGCTTCCCCAGTGCATACTTCAACATGCTCAGCCCCATCACTAGTAGATGGTACTTCCTCATCGAGAGAACATGTTTCCTTCATCGATGGCTTATGGAGAGTATGTCGAATAATCTACAAAACTTATATCGAATTTACATATGACAAAAGAAAAAATTAACATAAACAAGCGTAAACTTACTTGTCTCCGCTTTCAATTGGTTATTTCGTCCTGTAATGGTTCACGAATCCCAGCCACGTCAATGGTTGGGATAGCGTCTTTCTTCAACCTTCTTTTGTGCTTGACTTGCACGCTCAAATTAAGGTCAAAACAAGAATCGTCAAAATGCGCAGAACACAGACACGAGGTAGAGGAAGCCTCAAAACCCGGTCTATGTTTACGCACAAAATTTACCCATTTTCTATGTCTTTGCGGCTCTGTTTCTTTTTTAGGAAACAGATGCATCGGCATTCCTTCGGTTTTTGAATCATTGGCGCAACTAATTTGATTAGGTCCGCCAGCAACACAGCGTTTTCCTCCGCGTTTCTTATTAAGATTACTAGTATAATACGCCATGTTGATATAATGTCAACTTTCTACGTCACAGTCATTAGCATACCGATCAAAAGTTCGCAAAAAAAATGCTGAAAATCGTGACTTTGAACGTCCGTAAAATCACTTTCACCAATCCAATTTCAATTATAATTGCAGATTTAAAATCACTGAAACAAGGTCTTTCAATTTAGCTAATAAAAAAGGGGGGGCTAAAGTTCGTAATATAAACACTTTAAATATATAAAAGCAATTTGCTTAGAGACTATTTACATGGAGGTACGGTAACCCAGCACAAGGGTTATCCCAGAAAGTGAGTCACCCTACGTAAATATGTTTTATAAGTAGAGTTCACACATGCGCGCTAGGGGCACCCTTGTGGTAGGCTTGCACTAATAGCACCAACATTCAAGCACTTCTTAAGACTACACCAAACTGTAGCGTTCACACATGCGCGCTAGGGGGCACTCTAGTGGTAGGATTACCCTAATTACACAAACATTCAATCACTTCTTAAGACTACACCAAACTGTAGTGTTCACACATGCGCGCTAGGGACACAGTAGTCGTAGGTTTACCCTAATAACACCAACATTCAATCATTTCTTAAGACTACACAAAACTATAGCGTTAACACATGAGCGCTAAGGGGCACCCTAGTGCTAGGATTACCCTAAAACACCAGCATTCAATCATTTCTTAAGACTACACCAAACTGGATATCAATTTTCGTTAGTACTGCCATTATTATTATACGCAGCAAAATTTAAAACGTGACATACTTTATATGCATGGTAAAATTACAAGAATGAGAAAACTGCACCATTAGCTGTTGGTGTACTGTGGACCATCTACGACGTGTATACTCGTACGAAAATCACGTGATAAGTTTCTTGCTATTTACTGGCTAAAATGACATAAATATGACAATTTGTTATTGCAGCTTCAGATTTTGTGCACCTTCCAGTTTCCTCTCAGACAATAAAATAACGAGGAGATTTTATGTCTGAGAACTTTGTATTCTTGATGTGAACATGACGTCATCAATAATACAGTCGCCATGTTTAGGGTTTGTAACCTGGTTTTTGTACGTCCAAAAAAGTACATTTTGGCTTTCATTTTTTTGTTTTGCGTTTTGGCTGCATTTAATGTTTTTCATTTTAACGAACTGTAATTTTTCTGTCATTTAAACCATTATAAGGTGGTGGGACAGTCACAGTGATTTGTGCTACACAGTGAAATTTAATATTCCTAGGAAAAACGATTATAACGCACAAATATACCAGCAAAGTGTCCTACAGTTTAGCAAGTTAATATTTTAATAATAAACAGTTATTAGATGGGGTTGAGCATGATATCTAGAATTATTCAGACCGAGGTCAATGTCATCTGCCGAAGAAAAGCTGGGGGCGGATAACGTTGACAGAGGTATGAATAATTGTTGATATCATGCGAAAAACGAATTGAATAATTGTTTTATCATTCACTTCAACAAACTGAAATATTATTTACACTCATCAATGTAAAACATTTCGAAACCTGCCCTTAGTTGTAATTGTCAAACGGTTTTTTTGAGTTCTTCTTGTTTAAATATGCTGTAAATATGTTCGAAACCAGCTTTGTCGCTTTTTTAGTGTTTTCCTCATCAATTTTGTTCAAAAGCTTTCGTTTATTGTTTTTAGAAACTGTGGTAAACATCACTTTATTTGATTTTTTTCAAATTCATCTTTTAATGGCGTCCGTCAATAATTGTAGAAATTATTTTTCATAGATATGACGTCATACCTACTGATATCAAGAATTAGAACATAGCCAAAGTCATTCGGCCAATCAGCGTCCAGTATTTTGATGTTATAATTGCCCACAAAGTTAAAAGCAAACACATGTGTATTACATAAAATGAAACAACATACGTGTTTTCCCATGTTCAATAACTTTTAAAGTACGTCGTGTATTTGTCGTACCAACACATGCTTCTTTCTTCTTATCTAACTCAATTTTCTTTAGACTTGAAACATCCACTGGAGCAGGTTGTTGAAGTGCTTTTAAATCTGACATAACCAGAGTAGAACTTGGACTTTTGCATCATCTAACAATGATGTGCTTCGATAACCAGTCCGAGACATTATTGTTTGTTCATCACTGAAAATATTCCTTTCTTAGAGGGTTGTTGGGCACGTAACTTTTCCAAAATCATTCGAAAATCTTCAAACTTTCATGTCAATGTAATCTACCTCGCACATTGTTCATAAATATTTATAGAACGTGTTTATTTTAACAGGTTGTGAGCTATACCAATCCAATGTCCCCCTGGCTTATAACTTTCTAGAGGTTTTGAACAAAAACCTGCCTTTACATGGAGCACATCTCAAATACTCGTTGAAAACAATCATCAGCTGTAAACTAAAGATACTTGTATAAGAATACAGCATTTTAAATTCAGTACCATAAGTAATCCCTTCTAGCTTTGCCATGCATTGTTCTAAGACGGTGCCCGAGTAAGTGAAATTTTATCTAATGCGAGGGGCTCTCAATCCCATAGAGCACACATGATGGTGCTCTACCCTTACTAATTTGCAGGTAGTTGACCAAATCACTAGCAGTTAGTCATGTAAAATATTTCAAAAATTCAAATTCCATGTAGGTTGGTATGAAGAAATGTCTAGTACTTATATGCTCCATTCGAATGCCATTGTCAAATCTCTCTTGTAAAATCAATAGCTCAGGTAGGATAATTGTCAGTTGTGGTTAACCATAATTTTGAAGCCTGCTCCCCAGTCACCCCATAACCCCACTGGAGCAGGTTGTTGAAGTGCTTTTAAAACTGACATAACCAGAGTAGAAGTTGTCCTTTTGCATCATCTAACAATGATGTGCTTCGATAACCAGTCCGAGACATTATTGTTTGTTCATCACTGAAAATGTTCCTTTCTTAGAGGGTTGTTGGGCACGTAACCTTTCCAAAATCATTTGAAAAATCTTAATCTTTCATCTCAACGTAATCTACCTCGCTTATTGTTCGTAAATATTTATAGAACGTGTTTAATTTAACATGTTGTGAGTTATTCAGTACGATAAGTAATCCCTTCTGTCTTTGGCCATGCATTGTTCTAAGACGATGACCGTTTAAGTTAAAGTTTATCTAATGAGAGGGTCTCTCAATCCCATAGAGCACACATGATCGCGCTCTACCCTTACTAATTTGCAGGTAGTTGACAATATCACTAGCAGTTAGTCATCTAAAATATTTCAAAAATTCAAATTCCTTGTAGGTTGGTATGAAGAAATGTCTAGTACTTATATGCTCCAATGATTAGGCACGGTGTCTAAAATTTTAGAATTCCCGTGTATATGAGAGTCTTTGTACTTCTGTCACACAACGGTGGTCTTTCATCAAACATTACAAAATAAACAGAATGAAACGCGTGCGCTGATTGGTCTAGAGCTGTGTTTGCATTAGCTTGTGCAAAACACATCTGAGCTCTACTAATCAAATCAATCGTAATAATCAACGAGTCAATGAGAATTTGCAAATCGACTATAAATAAATTCAAGAGGAAAAATTTAATGCTCGCTTGTTTCGCAGTATTGTTATTTTATAAAAGAAATAAAAGATATTTTTCGTTTTTGCACTGACTTGTGCAAACATAGAAGACGTTTGTGAGAACTCTTGAGCATGTGCAGCACTCGATCTTCGGTCTCGAGCTTGCACTGATCTACTCTCGAATACTCCCGAAGGTCTCCTCGGTAACATTAGCCTGAGCAAGCACAGTAAACATCTTTTATTTCTTAAATGAAACACGATTCATACTAGGAATCAAAAAGGCAGGCACTAAAATGAAATCACTAACCTTACCACCTGTTAATAGTATGATGCCCTTCAGAGCATTGTTATCCGAGGGCGCAACATCAATGGTCAGCGGTGATCCAATCATGGGTATCACTCTAAGTAGGAACGGATAATGAAAATGAGTAATGTGGATAAAGGACGTGGTGAGGGTGATTGGGGGATTACGGTGATGATGGTTTGCGATAAAAAATGATGGTGAGGGTTAATGTGTGATAAAGATAATGGTGGTGAGGGTGATTGTTATGGAGGGTGATCTCCGCCAAAATTAAAAGCCATATTTTCAATTGCTAATGCGCATTTTGTCCTTTGCAATGTGCATTTTGTCCTTTGCAATGTGCATTTTGTCTTGATCATATTGCATTCTGGAATTTCATAATCGGATTTTGTCCTGTTCAATTTCCGTTAAAACGCATTTTGTTATTAAACATTCCATTATGATGACGTAACATTATTCGTGACTCGCAGAACATCAAATTTTACTCGATCACATTATAATTTATTTATAATTTTTACCGCCAAAAATTGTTAATATCAATAAATTATACTGTTGCAATATTTTATGCAATAACTATCACGATCTTTGTCCTTCGAAGCAACTTTAGTATTCTGTAAAAAAGAAACGATTTTTTTGGTATGGGGGATGATAATGGAGCGAAAAATCGAGAGGCAGCAGCTTTGCTTCGCCGAGCAGCAAATTTACTGAATCCAGACTCTTCTGGATCAGCAAGTCTTAGTTCTTCATCGACTGCTCATGAGTTGCAAGATGTTGCAAGATCTATCTGATGGAATGAATGAGTTTGGACTGGTTGATTTCCTGAAGAAACACAAAGATGTTGTTCAACCTCAGCTTTTTCCACAATCAACTGCTTCTATTATTCATAAAGACGACTTAAAAAGAATTATTGAAATTGAAGAAGAAGGCGTTCATTGTAATCAACTGATGTTGTTTTTGAAACAATACATTGATCTAATTGATGGGACAACTAGTGGTAAGTGTTTTGGTAGAAAGATGCAGGGAAGGTTGTAATTGGTTGTAGTCAGTCTATGTATGTGTTTCTTTTGTGTGAATATGGTTTGCTTTTTAATATTTGCACCACAACTGATTATATATCATATGTTGGAGCAGCAGTAACTTTATCTGTTTGAACAATATCAATGTCAGTAATATTTTCTTGCTTTTAAATTGGACCTTTGCTTGACTGTTTGAGGTACTAGTTATATTAATACTTTAATACTTATCCATTCCTAGGGGCAAATCTTAAAGATCTGTTGTCTTTTTGGACTGGGTGTGATTTACTGCCTGCAAATGGTGCAATCCTGCATTCTCAAAGTTGACAGAACAAAAGATCGTACTCTGCTGCCAGAAAGTGGAACTTGTTTTCATTTGTTAGTTCTTCCATGTTATGAAAACTTCGATGAACTGAAAGCTAAACTGGATAGGGCTTTGCAATTTGGTTCAAGAGGATTTACCAATATTTGATCTTGGAACAGTTTATACATTTCTTTCAGCAATAACATAGCTTGTTACAACTAATATGGATGATGCACTAAATTGAAATATTTTCATTCTTTGTTTTGGATATCATTTTTATAGTTAAAGACTTAAAGTGAATATGTTAATGTTTCATTAAATTTTGTTATGTCAGTGCATCAGCATTTATGTGCTAAAAAACATTTTCTGCTAAAATGTTGAAATAATCAACATAATGCAAAATTTATAGCCTTCGTTGCCATACATATCTTCTTTTGTATTATCTGAATTGACACCAATGAACAATAGGTCAAGTAGCTTTTCTTGTTTTGTGAGTTCACAATGTCACTCGTCTTCCTGGTGCAGTCTGGTATTTATAAACTGAAGCACCTCAATGTATATGTCAGCACCATTATGATTAGAAGGCCTTAAAGGATTAATGGTTCTTTGCAGCTCATCAAGATCTATTTCATTCAATGGAATGTTGGTTTCTGGAACAATCACATGTTGCTGATCTGTTTCATGACATGCGTAGTTTTGTGTAAAGGTGGGTGGAAATTCTTGGTTTACCTTAGTGAATTGGAACATTAAATTAGATTCTGACTTCAACATACATCAATTAGCTTTGGATCCAGTCTGATGATTATAATGTAAAGTGTAGTCTAAAAGTAAAGTCATGAGTTATTGCATAAAATATAAAATACCTGCTGTATATGGTCGTTTGAATTATTGGCTAAGGAAGATCCTTGGATCCATAGCTGTTCAGGTGATAGATTTCTTTCTGTTCTTATGGGAGATCTATTGTAACCTTCCTGGAAAATTTCCAAATTTCTGTTAATAATTGGACAAAACACATAATGCAATGAAAACACATGTTCTTCATTTGATGGATCCAATATTCCATTACTTTCCATATGATAGAATAAATGATAAAAAAGACTTGTACAACCAACAAAAAGATCTCGCCAAAAGCGCTCAATCCGTTGGTTGTGCACACTTCTTCCGGTAATATGACTGCCACGACCAGGTCCTCGTAAATGGTGGTTTAACATAAATTGAGCAATACCAACATTTTCCCCTCCTTTATCAGTTCTTACTCTGGATGGCAGTCCATATTGAGATACACCAGATAGAAATAGTCTTAGAACTGTATCAGCTCGATTGTTTGTGCTACAGCGAATAAATACCAGCAAACGTGAATAGCCATCTATTCCTGCATGAGTCACAAATCTCCATCTAAAAATATGAAACTACTAGCACATTTGTATGCAAAACTGAGATTTATTAACGCCCCGAATAGGTATTTTTTAGTAGCCCACCTAATCAATTTGTGATTGCCATCAACATGCCAAAGTGACAAGGGGCTAGTAACATGATACTTACGTCTGTTCACTGCTGTAAGAGACAAAGCACGAAACAATGTACCCTGTGGATCAACTCTTCGCATCATTTCACGAATCCTATCCTGCTGAATTCGCAAACCTCTTCTAACAGCAATCCTGGAATACGTTTGTAGCCAAGATTGGGAAACTCGTTCGTTAAGTTTCTTATGACCAAAAAACGCAAAAATCCCGATCTGGACTTCCTTCGAGGTCAGCAATACAACCCAAAATAGAGTTGCGAAGGAGTCTTACAAAGTATAACCTGTCTGCCATGTTTTAGGGTTGTAGACTTGTAGGTAAAACAATTGGTTTATTTTGTTTTCATTTATATTTCCGCATGAAGAAAATAAATTATAAATAAATTATAATGTGATCGAGTAAAATTTGATGTTCTGCGAGTCACGAATAATGTTACGTCATCATAATGGAATGTTTAATAACAAAATGCGTTTTAACGGAAATTGAACAGGACAAAATCCGATTATGAAATTTCAGAATGCAATATGATCAAGACAAAATGCACATTGCAAAGGACAAAATGCACATTGCAAAGGACAAAATGCGCATTAGCAATCGAAAATATGGCTTTTAATTTTGGCGGAGATCACCCTCCATAGATTGTGGCTATGTGAGTTTTGGATAAGAACAAGACTTTACGTAATATGAATGACAAACCTCTCCCCAGGTTTTGGAGCTCTCATACTTTTAACACGAACAATTCACGAGCGAAGTTTTTGTAAAGTTTCATAGCGAAATAACGACACAGATTGTAGTAGAAGTTTTGTTGGCCATATTTCAAAATCTATAAATAAAACTTTCTATTTGATCCATACGTACGTTCTCTGATATTACGATATTTACATAAAGTATGAAGAAGAATTTTTGAAATTGGGACATCAAGAACAAGAATGCGCGGGTTATGGGGTGACTGGGGAGCAGTTTTCAAAATGATGGTTAACCACAACTGACAATTATCCTACCTGAGCTATTGATTTTACAAGAGAGATTTGGCAATGGCATCTAAAAGTAAAAAATAAAACTCTGTCTTTTATAAACAAATAAAACAACACTTCTTAGCAATGAACGGTTATATATTTTAGAAAACAGTTTTGGTCAACTGACGAAATTTTTTTACGGGTGAGGGGGGGAGGATTGTGTCAAATCATTTCGATCAATTCACATGGTGTCGTAACTCGTTGTGTTACTCATTCTTTATCAAATATAAAATTATCAATATACGTACGTAAGATAGTGACTTTCTCCCTCCTTCAGCGTCCGCCACTCTTGAAGACAAAACATCACATATGGTTGTTGACAAACACAAATTATAACAGTTCATCCTAAACTTGACTTAACAGACATGTTGTCAGTCACTGATCCTGATGCTTGAAGCTCTGTTATGTACGCTGTCACCTAGCAACAAACAAACTCACGGAAAGGTGGTAAAGGAATTGTGGCAAAGTGAAGTCTGTCATGCTTTGGAAACTTTGTATCGAAGACTCGTCTCCGATATTTCATCAATGCTAAATAATTTGAGAGTGTCAAAAGATCAACACATCGTACGTAGTCTTTGTTAAAAATACAAGTTCTCGGAGACAGTAAAGTGTTTTACAAGTATTAAAACAAATTTCACTTTCATGAACAAATTCTCTGTACGTCAGAGAACAAATCAATGAGCTCGTTCAAATGTGTCACATTCACAGACTTAAAGGATTGTTTACCTACGTATGCACCTGCGTAGTAAGGGCTCAATTAACATTTCCTGCGTTGTCTATAAAAAGAACAAAATTCTATCATAGGAAGAGTAACTGATACCAAAAGAGGTCCATCTACAGGTGTCCCAAAAAACGGACGCACATAAATTAATTATGTATTCGCTAAAATTGCCATGCAAAATAATGTAATTAGCTGTTTTCACGAAGACGACGGAAAGGCCAGCGAGGGCCTTATGTTACTGAGTATTGAAGGTATTGGTTGAGTTACAATGTGAAGATTACTTTGCAATTTTTTTTAGCCTTCAATCATAAAATTCTATGATAAAAGTCTACAAGGTGTACACCTCTGAAAATGTGCCAGGAACCACAAGTTACATAGAACAATGAGATTATTGTCCCAATGAAACTCTTTTTACAAATATGTGATGATATAAATGTTAAGTATATACATAATATGCTATCTGTTTGCATTCTATATTTTAGTCACCTATTGGTTAATTATTTTGAAGGTAGTGACACAGGTGCCCCAAGTTTATAGAGACATCAATGGTGTAACCGAATTTCTCAAAAACAGCAAGATTTGCAAATGTTATTACATATTAGCTTTTTCAGCCAGGTTGTTTGACTAAACACTGTACTCACTTAGAAATTCTTTAAATTTCATTTGGCGTACATTCTGAAAAAGGTAAAAAACAAAATTTCAAGACCTGGAATGATATATTGATGCAAAGGAAAAGCTGGAAAAAAACCAACAAACTTGGATATGCCAATTATCTTGGACTGTGGTGGTGAGCCACATAAGTCATTTACAAGAAAAGATAATCCAATATAACTTCAATACCTTAACAACTTCAATGCTTGGACTCTTATAAGCATTTGCAGTCTGTGCTTTGGCTTTTTGAATGCATTTTAATATTCTTTCACTCCTGTTCTTTACTGTAGAAATACAAATACATATGCTTAAAATCACAAACATCTTCAGCGGATGATTGGTTACTTTATCCATAACAACACTTAATGTATCAACTTAATTCTTGTGCATTATTTGTAGACAAAACCATGTAAAATTTTTTAGGTCAAAGCAGACGTAATCTTGATGACATACACCTCAGTTTAGGGTGTACTCCAAAAATTTCTTCGGGGGTACAAAATATGGTTTTGAAAATAATGACAACATGGGAGGTTTGAATTAAATCAACAGCTGATTTCAAATTTTATTATTATTTTTATCCTTAATAATTTCATGAACAGTCAATGATAATACACAATTTTGTTCACAAATTTACCTTTGAGTAGAAAATCTTCTATATAATCGTTCAATTTATTTTCTTGCTCATCAATCGACATGGATGTATTTAATACCGTAATAGGGCAAAATGTGCAGTTTAATTCATTTGACTCTGCCTGCCAACCTTCTTTGGGACTTCTCGCTTTCTTTTCGGTGCCATTCACCTTCACTACAACTCTATATATCTGTATATCTTTAACATAGGCAGAAAATTTTGCTCCGATATTCAAAATTTGAAGTGCAGTAACAAATATTTCAAAAACATTGCTCGCTAAAATTCTCAAATTTTGCGCGGTCATAATCAAGTCGTTTTCATAATGGTTTCCATCCATCAAAACAACATTTATATCACAGTCTAATGGGAGAAAGACTAGGACCTGATAAATATTGAAAGTGAAACAAAAACAAAATTTTCGACATAAACGGCGTTTTTACATTTTAAGAATTATTAATTATTCATTTTTCTTTATGTAGCTATTTTAAATCATATTTTAAGAAATAGTCTATTTGTTTAAAAAAAAACAAATGAGACTATGACTAATGCAAGATAATATATTAAGTTCTATCTCTAGTTCATCAGCATTAAAGAGTCGATTGTTTATGTTTGGTTTTTAAAATGTTTGATAGAATTTTTTTTGTACACTTTCTTTAAACTTAATTTTGATTTTGAGTTTGACAAAGTAGTCAAACATTTAGGGGAATGGGTTCTAAATAGTTGTGCGCAACGATTGCAATAAAAAATTCCATCCTTTTCGAGACGTTTCAGTGATTTGACGTACATTTTTATAAGGTAACTGTCTGGTAATTGCATTGAACTAAAATACATGGTACGCTATCTGAAGCAAATAATTGAAGCCAAATCTTACCCCCAGACAAGCGTGTTAAGTATTTCGAGATTCTCTCGCGGAGTGAAAATTGACTGACTACAAACGCGTGTCTGGATGTAATCTCGCGTGTCTGGGTGTAAAATTTGGCTTCAAAATATTATTAGGCTTATCTATTACAGATAGCGTTCCATGTATTTTAGTTCAATGGGTAATTGGAAGGAGTTCGTATTTTTGCACGTGATATACAAATTTGAAAACAAAGTTTTCTTTCTTTTATTGCTCCCCGTACTCTTAGTGCATGTTATGTGTTTTTGTGTTCACGTGCTTACATCATGTTTAGGTAAAGCTTCTCATTGGCTGAAACGCGTCACATGCTCACTGAATATCATTCTCTGATTATGCTCGCACTTTATAGCAAGAGTGTATGAAGCATATTACATTGATCATGATGTTTGTTATTCATAGCTCAGGCTTTTTTATAACAAAGAAAATGTTTTTAGTAGTTTTCATACTGTTGATGAAGCTGTCAACTGCATCAAGTTTTACTATGTTTGTAGCTACTTTAATTTAAAACAAATTCCGAAGAAACAAGACATCTTGAGATTGCAAAATATGAATCAAAACAAGACGAGAAGTAAACTGTAAATTTTCGACTTTATTTCAAAGTCATCCTCATTCTGTCTGTGCGTTTTCTGTTATAGCAGGAAGTAATAGTACAGGTAGCTTTTTGTAAAGTCAATTGTTTTTCAAAAAAAATTGTCCGAAATCTTAGTCCCATTTACAGAAATCGCATGCAATGTAAGAGAAGACAGCAATTTTGCATCGAACGACAATGATTATCGACAATGAAAGTGAAACAAAAATGAGACATAAAGACTATAGCAACTATGAAATAAATATATCACTTATGAAAACCGACAAGTTTTCTGAAAGTGACTACCGCAAAGAATGTCGAAACGTCAGTCAATACGAGCACCAACAGTCAACCACTGGATATACATCTACAAAGATGTAAGATTCAAGTCAATTGCAGTTTGCAACGGCCATAGTAGTTGAACAACTGCAAGCAAAAGCTAAGTTATCTCTAATACTGATAGTTCCCGGGCTAGTTCCGTGTGTATGAGAGTCTTTATACTCGGTTTCCTGTCATACAACGCTTACTTTTTATCAAACACTATTTGAATTTTTGTACCTTGAATAAATATTTATTTTTCTTAATGCAAAGTTGCTATGCTAAAGCATATTCTATATATCTAATAATCCATGAGTGGATTCTGAAAAAACAGCAAGGAAACAAATTTGATAACTTGCAAGTCGCGCAAAAAATAACGCCCGAGAAGAAACAAAGAAGCTTTGAGCCATGAGAGATAGCTAATAAAAGCCATCTGTCAAGGACGTTGAACTGTATGAATAACAGTTCAATAATCAAGAACTATTCTATATTCCTCCATTTTTCCGCATTTGTTTTCTTACGTAACGTAAACTTATCTACTTATCTTTAAGTTTCGTTGTTTTTGTTAACGATTCTCCAATACATTTGAGAAAGCTTCAAACTCATACAGCAACGAATCATCTAAGATTTGTCTTGATACAATGTAACGGATGCAATGTGGTTGTTCTGCATAATCTAAATCAAAAAAAAATGACAAGGGACAATCATTCTGTAAACTTTGTAAACAATCATTATCAAAAGCCTCAAAAAATATTGAAGTTGCATGTCAGGGTATCACTGACTGGAATATGGAAACTGGAATCTCAATTTGACTATAGATATGACGAAATTTTCTATACAACTACGGTCTAAATGGCAACTACCGCAAAGCAACTTCTTCAACTGATAAGTATTAACAAATGAAAATGCGATAGTTGTCGCGGTTGAATTTCAATTTTGACGAGTGCGAAATTGAAATCAACGTATAAAAGGAATAAGTTGTATGTTTGTCACTTCCGGATAGATGTTCGGCATTTGCATTTGTGCTTTGCACTAGCAAAGACTGAAATAAACAAATAGCCAAAGACAGGGTCTTTGTAAAAAAAAAATATTTTACGCTTTTGTGAAGTTTTTAATTCTGAAAGCGAGAAGTTAATTACTCCACAACTTTAGTTTTTGGAACAGATGCACAGCATGTGAAGTAGTGAAGGCAGATTTGCACAGCATTCACTGCATGAGATGTGGCACGCACATTATTTTGCTGCATATAGTACATAATACCTATCCATCCGTCAAAATCAAAATAAGAATTTTGAAAATCATAAAATATTGGAACTATCTTAGTCAACGTAGCTTTATAGATAACAGTTAACTAGTTAACTGTTATGTGATGAGCATTAATCTTGTCGGTGTTAAAAAAACAGAGAAGACTTTTAGAGACCCAAACATGTATGCGGAATATGTTACATCAACACTAACATTTACTTTTTAACTGTTAGTTCGCAATGGCTATTACAGTGTACTGAATTTTTAACGGTTCAAAGGAGAATGTGCGTATGCGTGTTTTGAGTGTCGTAAATCTGTCGCCAAGCATCTATGATTAATTTGGCCGCATACCATGTGTACACATCGGTAGCAAACTAACCAAAAATTGTATAAAATGTTACTTCGAAGAATTTACAGTTGCTGCATGGTGAAGATTTAAAATGAAATGCATTCATAGTGTTGAATCTTGTATCATTTTGTTCGTCCAGTGGAGTCAATTCTAATGTCTTTAAATGACATCGACTTTGTCAAATCCAAATTTGTCATTTGAATTAACTATACTGTGAATATGGAATTGCTATCAGCAATTGCTATCAGTTCCCTGTAATAAATCTTTTAATAAAAAGTGGAACTCGTATAGGTAGGGGATAACCTTAGCAGTTTATTTAAAAAATCTTTTATTTAAGATAACGAACTTAATTCATTAAAGCTAGCAAAAACTATAACTGAAACATTTGTATATTTCATAATAAATATGACGTTTACACAGCAGGTTTATCAATTGACAATTGAATTTACTAATGTCTTTATTATTATCACACACGTTCACAAATGCTAATCAACTACATATTCATAGTTACAATGCTAGTTTTTACGCAAAATTACATAAAGATTTTGCGACGTACTTAAAGTAAATTTACATAATACATCTCGTGTTTATACATGAAACTAAGCTTTCATTTCTTCACAGAAACATTATATTGTCCATTTATATTTATGATACTAGAGACTACACATGAGCTGTTAATAAATGAGTGGGTGTTGGCAATGAACGTTTTACATTAGATGAAAAGAAAAACACAGAGTATAATAAAACAGAAAGCGAAATGAAAATTTGGCCTGTTACTGATGTTGTGTTCGTCATGGAAACATGACCTTTCTTTTTTATTACATAATCTATTCCCCGAGCAAATAGTGCCCAATTTAACAAAATTGAAGTCTGTTCCGGAACAGTAGTATGACTGATTTCCATTTGTAGCTTTTCTATATGAGCAAAACGTATATCCAGCAGGTACGACAAAGTACCATTTCTCTTGGTACTCATAAGTGTGTACAATTTTTTGTGTCCTTGATGCAGAAAAAGATATTTTGTATTTTGCTACGATTTTCAGGGTCAATCCGACAGATACCTGAGATACTTTAGTTGTTTTTTTGTTAATTTTTAGTTCATAACTGCAAGGATGATGTTTTCCCTCTATCCCAGGACACGCATAAGAAAAACTTTCGTCGTAACAAACACTTTCACCAGCTGTAACACTGAATTTTTTAGACTTAACCTGGGGACAATCTTCAACGAATATTTCTACGTCTTTATTTTTTCGATAATACACTCGTGCTTTATTTGCCGGTTTGTCCAAAACCATTTCTCTCTTCGAGCTTCCACAATACCAAGAGAAATTTTGTCCACTAGTCTCGAATTTAACATCGAGTTCGCCCTTAAGAACAATTTGATTTTTGACAAATATAAAATCAGGATTTTGACACTTTTCTTTAAAGGATGTAACATTTTTGCATGTCTGAGCAGAAATTGCACTGCTTTCATGAAAAAAAGAAGCTACCAATAATAAAGTCAAAGCTCCTGATACAATTCTACCCATTTTGTTTTATCCACGCCAATAATCAGGTAAATGTGATTTCGTTTGCTGTTATGTTCGTTTTTATTTATGATGCATGGAATTATGGGAATGAAGAAGACTATTGTCTCAAATAATACATAGGTAATTAAGGAGGAGACAGGAGACCTTTCTAAATTGTATATTTTCATACAGGCAGGATGTAGCAGCTGCTCATATGCTCAGCATGACTAGAACTGCTTTAAAAAGCAGGCATTTTTTTTTCATTCAGACGTTTCCTCTCTAAAATTAGTCCTAGCTGAACACTTGGCATAGAAAAGCAAAATTATCCATGCTAGATGATTTAAAGTCCACAAATGCAGCTTATGAGCTTTAACTATGGGTGTTTTAGCTCTCCCCAAATTCATGCATGCTCTTGAGAGATAATTTGGAGTTCTTCGTCGGATGAAACGCATCACATGCTCACCGAATTTCATGCTCAAATTATGCTTTCACTCCATGGCATAAGTGAATGACGTTTATTATGATTTTTGCTATTCGTGACCATCGTAGCTCTGGCTTAAGAATAACAAAGAAAAGTTTCTAGTGCTTTCTATGTGGCATTGTTTGTTTTCACCATGGCCTGAAACTCTGCTTCATTCTGAGGCACTGTTGAATTTCTTCTAAACGTTATCAAACAACCAACTTTCGACAGTAAAAAAGGACGACCTTAATATATGAAGACATATATTTAGGCAAACGAGATCACCATGGGTCCACTCTGATCTGGCAATTTCGCATCAAGAAATTATACTGACAATCAAATTGAAACTAAAATCACTCTGATCTGGCAATTTTGCATCAAATAATTATACTGACAATGAAAGTGAAACTAAAATGAGCCACAAACACAAAGCAACGGCAAAATAAATAGATCATTCATGCAGCAAAGCGAGAAGTTTCCGTTTGTAGCGACGGTAAATTTATTCAAAATATAATCGTTCTGTGTTTGAGTAAATATGGCGTTATCACTCAGTAAATGATACTAGATGGCTCTTATTTAAAAGATCGGCAAACCTAAAGGAGAGTCAAAGATGTCATACGGTGGTCTAAACATCATTAAATACATTGCAGATTGGTTAAACCTAGAGGAGAGTCAAAGATGTCATACGGTGATCTAAACATCATTAAATACATTGCATAGTGATTAAACCTAGAGGAGAGTCAAAGATGTCATACGGTGGTGCAAACATCATTAAATACATTGCATAGTGATTAAACCTAGAGGAGAGTCAAAGATGTCATACGGTGGTCCAAACATCATTAAATACATTGCAGAGTGGTGAAACCTAGAGGAGAGTCAAAGATGTCATACGGTGGTCCAAACATCATTAAATACATTGCAGAGTGGTTAAACACGACATGTCAACAATGATGCAAAAAGCAACAACTGTTTATTCTCCTTTAATTTTTAAACCAAATTCTCCCAAATTTTAATCATTCGCTCATCATGAATTCATGGCCAATAGAAAACGTTTGTTATCTTATGAATTATCGTGCTCAGTGCTTACAAACAAACACACACTCACTGTCACATGTATGTGTGGGTAGCCTTAACAACAGCTTCAGTATACAGAACAAACAGAAGTCAGTTGTCCCTCTTTACTGTGCAACTTGGTGCTGTGCTTTTCATTAAATAGGCTGCAGCGAGCCATTTTAACATTCCTATTGGTTCAATAATGTATTTTACTTCGCTGCACCACGTTAATCACAAATGGACAATAATATACTTGCCCATTTGAAATTTTTATTGGAGTGGGACTATAGTTTCTTTCTCAACTGTAACCTTGAGATGAACATAGTTTAACTTATATAGTACAAAAAAATTTATAAATGCATGTATAGTAAAGTATAGTATAGTAAAGGTCATTTCCTTTCGTAATAATAACATATGAAAAATAACAACAATAATTTCGTGTCAAAATGCCACAAAATGAAATCAATCTTTCCTTTGGCACTTCTCTCTCGTACAAAACGTTCTCTTTGCTAAATTTATAAAATTTTCTTTATTTTATTGCTCTCCGTACTCTCAGTGCATGTTATGCGTTCTTGCGTTCACGTGCTTACATCATGTTTAGGTAAAGCTTCTCATTGGCTGAAACGCGTCACATGCTCACTGAATATCATTCTCTGTTTATGCTCTCACTTTATAGCAAGAGTGTATGAAGTATATTACGTTGATCATGATGTTTGCTATTCATAGCTCAGGCTTTTTTATAACAAAGAAAATGTTTTTAGTAGTTTTCATACGGTTGATGAAGCTGTCAACTGTATCAATTTTTACAACATTTGTAGCTACTTTGTAGTGGTAAATCTTTTGTCGAGATTGTTTACAGAAGTTGGTCGGCCCATATTGGCCATCTACACCTAAGCCTTTGAACAAAATTTTGAAGAATTATGGTATTCAAATTTCAAACAGAGAACGATTGGTATAGCAAATGACAAGATTACTTTATTTTGTTGGTTATGTCGGTGTAACTTTTGCTCATTTAGTATGTAGCTCAAGTAAGAAAGACGTCCTTGCCCCAAGTTGGTATAAATGTGAGTGCTCGGAAATAATCTTTCGTCAAACTGAATTGAGTAGTGGTTGCTTGGGAGAGAAAAAGTGTAAAGACAATGTCTCCCAGGTCCGTTTTAACACTTCATTCCAACTTTCGAAATTTTCATTTAGATAAACTTCGACTTTGTCATTGTCTGTTTTTTCAGCCTTTCATGCAATGAAGAACGTCCATCGACATTCACTTATTACAAGAGCTAGCGTGTTGCCTGTTGTATCATAAATATGTGTAGAACAAATTAATTTCATGTTCCTGTGTGTTTTCTGTTATAGCATGAAGTAATAGTACAGGTAGCTTTTTGTAAAGTCAATTGTAAAAAATTGTCCGAAATCTTAGTCCCATTTACAGAAATCGCATGCAATGTAAGAGAAGACAGCAATTTTGCATCAAACGACAATGATTATCGACAATGAAAGTGAAACAAAAATGAGACACAAAGACTATAGCAACTATGAAATAAATATATCACAGATGAAAATTGACAACTTTTCTAAAAGTGACTACCGCAAAGAAAGTCGAAACGTCAGTCAATACGAGCACCAACAGTCAACGACTGGATATACATCTACAAAGATGTAAGATTTAAGTCAATTGCAGTTTGCAATGGCCATAGCAGTTGAATAACTGCAATCAAAAACTAAGTTATCTCTAATACTGATAGTTCTGTAGCTTATGATTTTAAAATTTCCAATTTTCGTTAGCACGGCCATTATCATTATACGCAGCGAAATTCAGATACTTTAATGAATGGAGAAACTGCAAAATTAGCCATTGGTGTGCTATGCTTTGACGGCCAACGACGAGTATCCTCGTCGAAATCATATCATAAGCATAAATTTCTAGCCATTTCCTGGGTAAAATATTATAATATCACAAATTGCAAGACAAATATAATATCACAAGTGCAGTTTCCGACTGAAAATTTTGCTACCCTTCCACTTTCCGTTGATATTGAATCATGATTTGTCAAGAAGATAACGAGGATATCTCATGTTTAAGTAATTTGCTTTGTTTGTATTCTTTGTGTGAACGCGAAGTCATCAATAATATAGTCGCCATGTTTAGGGTTGCTATCTGGCTCTTGTACAGCCAATAACTAGATTTTGGCTTTTTTTGCCTTTTGGCTGCATTTGGCCTTTATCACTTCTTTGGACTGTAACTTTTCTGTCATTTGAACCATTACAGTGATGAGACTGTCACAGTTAATTTTGCTACACCGTGAAATTAAGTATTCCTTGGAAAAAACGCTTACAACGCACAATTAGGAGAAGATCCATATTTTTTACGAGCAACATGTCCCTCAGTTTACCAAGTTGATATTTTAATAATAGCAGATAATCTTTTCAATTATTTAAAAATTTAAATCAATGTAAGTTAGTATGACGATGCATATGTGAGAAATGTTTAGTACCTACGCTCCCTTGATTAGCTACAGTGTCTAAATTCCGTGTGTATGAGAGTCTTTATTCTCGGTCTCCTGTCATACAACGCTTACTTTTATCAAACACTATTTGAATTTATGTACCTTGAATAAATCTTTATTTTTCTTAATGCAAAGTCGCCATGCTAAAGCATATTCTATGTATATGATAATCCATGAGTGGATTCTGAAAAACAGCAATGAAACAAATTTGATAACATGCAAGTCGCGCAAAAAATAATGCCCGAGAAGAAACAAAGAAGCTTTGAGCCATGAGAGATAGCTAATAAAGGCCATCTGTCAAGGACGTTGAACTCTATAAATAACTGTTCAATAATTAAGAACTATTTTATATTTTTGCCATTTTTCCGCACTTGTTTTCTTTCGTAACGTAAACTTATCTACTTGTCTTTAAGTTTTGTTGTTTTTGTTAACGATTCTCCAATACATTTGAGAAAGCTTCAAACTCATACAGCAACGAATCATCTAAGATTTGTCGTGATACAATGTACGGATGCAATGTTGTTGTTCTGCATAATCTAAATGAAAAAAAATGACAAGAGACAATCATTCTGCAAACTTTCTAAAGAATCATTATTAAAAACCACAACAAATATTGAAGTTGCATGTCTGGGTACCACTGACTGGAATATGGAAACTGGAATCTCAATTTGACTATAGATATGGAGAAATATTCTATACAACTACGGTCTAAATGACAACTACCGCAAGGCAACTGCTTCAACTGATAAGTATTAACAAATGAAAACGCGATAGTTTCCACGGTTGAATTTCAATTTTGACGTGTTCGAAATTGAAATCTACGTATAAAAGAAATATGTTGTATGTCACTTCCGGATAGATGTTCTGCATTTTCATTTGTGCTTTGCACTAGCAAAAACTGAAATAAACAAATAGCCAAAGACAGGGTCTTTCTATGAGAAACATTTTACGCTTTTGTAAAGTTTTTATTTCTGAAAGCGGGAAGTTAATTACTCCACAACTTTAGTTGTTGGAACAAATGCACAGCATGTGAAGTAGTGAAGGTAGATTTGCACAGCATGTGAAGTAGTGAAGGCAGATTTGCACAGCATTCACTGCATGAGATGTGGCACGCACAATATTTTGCTGCATATAGTACATGATACAACTATATGTAGATACCTTGGTACAGGGATTGATTTCAAACTGTTCTTCTTGTCCTAAATCAACTAGACAAAAGATAAAGAAGGGTACTTATTTCAAGGGCAGTATGTATAAACTTCTCTATGACTGACTACAGTATAACATACACTTCTCTATGACTGACTACAGTATACCATACACTTCTCTATGACTGACTACAGTATAACATACACTTCTCTATGACTGACTACAGTATAACATACACTTCTCTATCAGGGGCGGATCTAGGATTTTTCAAACATCAGTCATAAAACGTCAAAGGCGCTCCGCACCTGGGGGGGGTCTGAGGCATTCTCCCCTGAGAAATTTTGAATTTCAGAGCCTTGAAAATGCCATTTTCAGCGTTTTAGAGCAATACAAAATGTATTTTGTGGGCATCGTTTTTGCGTAAAACAACACATTTTGCTTACGTTTTTTCAAAAAGAAAATGAAGTGAACAATACTTGAATGTTTTGCCAAATATTTAGGCTCATTATCATGCCAAATATATGGCTCATTAGCATGTCTAGGAACGTAAAATTTATTTTACAATAATGCTATTCAAAACAGATATAGTCTTTAAAATTTCTACCAAGTTGTCAGGCATAGACCCCCTAGAGACCCCATTCAAACCTCTATGTAATGAGTTTAGTTAAGTTAGAAATTTGGTACTACAAGTGACACTTCATAGATATAGAAAAGCTCAGACTTCAAACCATGCAAGTTTATTGTAACTCTTTACCCATCTCCACATCAGTGCCAGCAAATTCACCTTTTGAGAAAAAACTCAAAATTTTTTTCTGCCAAAGGTTAAGCAAAAATTATCAGAGTGAAAATTTGCAGTTAAGGACAGCTTAATGCCATAAATGTTTATTAGGCATTTCACTAGACTTTTATCTCCTGTAAGTATATGCAAAGTGTGCTATATAGCAATCACTAGTAGCATTGTATTTGCAAATACAAACAGAATGTAACCAACATGTCTTTAATTATATAATTACATGAATGTTAAAACTGGTTCATGTGTCATGCTTACTGGTTATGATAAATATCTTTTCATATGATCAAAGCTTGTTTAAATGTAAATCAGAAATAATTTAGTTTAGAAATTATAATGATCATCAGAAAAATACTTTGCTGTTTTGCCAAATTTCAAGGTTTATCTGCATACATAGAAAGACATTTTTACTTTATAGAAAATGCTTTTCATACATCAATAGCCCTTTGGAATTTATGGCAAACAATCTGGTATGAGCCGTAGATTAACACACCTTTACATCTCTACATGAGGTGTTCAGTTAGAAAAGGGGACAATATGTGACATGGGACAACATTCCATGTATGTGAAATACTCAGGTTTAATACCATTCCAGTCAAATTGTCAAAATAAAAAGCTTCATGGATCAGAAGACTCAAAATCACAGGTTATAGTAAACAGCTTCTCATGTAATCAATGTTAGTTTTCTCAAATCTTAAACAATATGTAGTATAACTGTCCAATGATTGAATGATCAATGATCATTAACTGAAAAGCCCCAAACATTTGTTTATGTTAAAGTAAATAATAGTATGGCGCCTTATGGCTACAGATTTTTTGTCCATTGAAATATATTTGCAGGAATGTAGGATTTCGCTGCCGTATAACGGCCACGATTCCCCAAGCACTAAAGAAATCATAGCTAAAAGTCCTTCGTCAACAACAATTTTAGAAGCATCGATCTGCTTACCATACGCCATATTGACATAAATCGCATCACACACTCGCATAATTGACTTTGATATAATACATTCATGCATACACTTCACTTGTCCTTTACTTACGATTTTGGATGTAAATTTCTGCTGATAAAACTCAAAACAATGTTGGCTTTCTTTTGAACATCAATGACTGAAATGTCGCTCGCGAGATCGTCTTTGCCAAGCATTTAAAATTTATCCATAAATTTCGACCCTCTTGAAAAAATTCACATTTTGAACAGCAGCATTCATGTCAATATATGAATTTGTAAAAGATTTCCATAAATTCCATCTGATTGTAGTTTAGTTTCTATCATGCTTATAAAATTACTATAAAACGATCAAACATTCAATTCAGACAGTGAGCTTGACTATGTTAGTTCAGTTGGCTATCAGTCGAAATCCGTCAAACCAATCACAATAAAGCAAAATTCAAATGAACCAATTGTAAGATAGCAATTGGACTCCTTATACGTCCGGCCACCCTTATTATCAGTCGAGACCATTCCAGACTGTCCACTGATCTGGCTATTGACCAATAAAATAAGCGTTTTGACGTTCATAGACTCCTTTATCCGTCGAACCAGTCAAGCCACCCCGCTTATCAGTCGGTTATTCCAGGTCAATTAAAATTCAACTGATCTGGTTACCAACGAGATATTCATTGGATTAGTCATTAGTTTTCAATAATAAATAATGCGGGATTTTTATCACGAAGTAAATGCGATAAGAAAATAAGAATAATTAATGATTTTTAATTAATATAAATAGGTAATTTTTGAATTTCAAACATCAGTCGCGCGACGGATTTGACATACTCTAGATCCGCCCCTGTTCTCTATGACTGTCTACAGTATAAAATACACTTCTCTATGACTGACTACAGTATAGCATACACTTCTCTATGACTGACTACAGTATAAAATACACTTCTCTATGACTGACTACAGTATAGCATACACTTCTCTATGACTGACTACAGTATAACATACACTTCTCTATGACTGACTACAGTATAAGATACACTTCTATATAACTGACTACACCATAAAACACACTTCTCTATGACTGACTACAGTATAGCATACACTTCTCTATGACTGACTACAGTATAACATACACTTCTCTATGACTGTCTACAGTACAACATACACTTCTATGACTGACTACAGTATAACATACACTTCTCTATGACTGACTACAGTATAACATACACTTATCTATGACTGACTACAGTATAAGATACACTTCTATATAACTGACCATAAAACACACTTCTCTATGACTGGCTACAGTATAACATAAACTTCTCTATGACTGACTACAGTATAACATACACTTCTCTATGACTGACTACAGTATAACATACACTTCTCTATGACTGACTACAGTATAAAATACACTTCTCTATGACTGACTACAGTATATACACTTCTCTATAACTGACTACAGTATAACATACACTTCTCTATGACTGACTACAGTATAACATACACTTCTCTACAACTGACTACAGTATAACATACACTTCTCTCTAACTGACTACAGTATAACATACACTTCTCTATGACTGTCTACAGTATAACATACACTTCTCTATAACTGACTACAGTATAACATACACTTCTCTATGACTGACTACAGTATAACATCTACTTCTCTATAACTGACTACAGTATAACATACACTTCTCTATGACTGACTACAACATATCGTTTTTTTGATTTCTTACCAAGTTCACTATTTTGAGGACGAGTAATGTTGATGACAAACTGACTACTTTGATTAATCAAAGTACATTCATACAAATTAAAAACTAATACCTTTGTGTCATCAGTATGAGTTAAGACAGTCGAGACGTGCTTCAGTTGCTGTCTTTTAACAAATATTTCATCAGCAAAACTCATTCTCACTTCCCAGTAATGGAAAATTTGACCCTTACGACAATTTTATTGGCACATATAACACGTAGATATGACATGGGTGCATCAAATTTGCTTCCATAAAATGAAGATATATTGAAGGTTTTACAAAATTAACCATTGTTGAGGAGTAGGGTAGTAAGTCGCAACCAGAAAGTTCAAAGGAAGGGGAGTGCACATTAAAGAAAAACAAACTCGCACTAATGATATTATAGGCAATTGAACATACGTTAATATTTTGTACACCACAAAAACACAAATATAGAGCCCACCTTCCTTAACTTTGCCAATGCATTTAACTGAGACTTCGAAGTACAAAGAAACAAACACGTGATTGAGTTAATAACATGGAGACCATATGGATGTATGGGGGCACATGGAGGTGTAGTGCACTGGGGTGTCTACGGCCCCTAATTACTGCCACTGACTTGTAATTCAATAGAACCATTAGTTACGGCCTAAACGATGTTAAAGATGCATCACTTGTGGTCTGGGACAAAGGAAGCAACTTGCAGACAAGAAATTCTGATTAAGTGGCTAACTGCAAGGAAAGGAATCTCTCTTATCACCTGAGGTATTCTTAACATGGTCATTTTTCCCACTTTTGCACTCTTTTGTCAGTTCTATTTAGCATTTTGAATGTTATCAATAATTTATTTGTTAGAACTTATTCACAAAAGATGTCTAAACTTTTAATTTGCAAATAGGATTCAACAATCTTTGTGAAAAATGGTTTCCTTGCGTCTTGAAAAGTGTTTCCTTGTGTTATAAATATATGATCATCGTATTTAAAATGATTAGAAATATTGACAGTCAAAGAAACAAATGCAATGAACTTAGGGTGCCACCCAAAACGAATGAGTTTCAGACTTTCAACCTGTGATTCAGACTCAACAAATGTAGTTTTGAGCAGAAAACGTAACAATCGTCAACTCTTGGATTAATGTTAATTCTGCATCATAAGAAAAGACGTAATTTTACTACAACAAATAACCTTTAAATTAGGACGTTTTTACACCGAGAACAAACTGCCTAATGTGATTGACTAAAGCTCTACTTCTTTGACCTTAGAAACTTTGACCTTAGTTGTGTTTTTTTTGTTGATGTGCTTCATTGCATTATTTTGTTTCATCTTTTGTCTTTGTTTTGCTTAATATAAATATGTTAAAATATAAAACTAGGCGTTGTTATGCTTTGCTTTCAGCTTCCGCGTTTATCAAACGTCGACTGAAAATGTTAACCTTTCTTTTAGCTTCAACATTTAGTGATAAACAAAATTTCTTCAACTCCAGCATTAATTTTCATATTAAATTGTATAGGAAGACGTATGAAATGGCTTGTCGTCCTAATGTTTATGAAAGTGGATATGAAGAATCGAGATTTAAGACTGTTGTTGATATAAATTTTTACTGTTCAATTTGTCTGAATGTGATGAAAGATGCCAGAATGTGCCATAATCAACACAATTTTTGTCGTGAATGTATTGAAGAACATCTACGAGTTAATGCACAAAGATGTCCTCAATGTCAAGATGATTTAACTTTGGCTACGCTTCATCCAGCGCGTGTTATAAATAACGTGATTTCAAAGTTAAAGATCAACTGCGACTACGCCAGTCGTGGTTGTCCTGAATTTATAAATGTCGAAGATCTTGAAAGACATGTTGAAAATTGTGGCTTTGCTCCAGTGTTGTGTTCTAATGAACGTTGTGGTCTGGAAATAAACAAACGAGACAAGATTAAACATGAAACTGAATTATGTGAATACAGAAAGATTGCTTCTCACGACTTTCGAGAGATTGGCGAAATGTTTCAACGAAGTTTTGAAGATAACTTAAGCCGGAAAATAGAGGAAAAATTTATTGAAGTAAAAGAATCAGTGAAACCATTGACAGCTCAGTATACAAAAATACAGAAAGAATTAAAATATGTTCAACAAAATCTTTCTACAGTGACCAAAGAAATGATGGAATCAAGGAAACAAATAAAAGATGTTCAACAAAATCTTTCTGCAGTGACCAAAGAAATGATGGAATCAAAGAAAGAAATAAAGGATAATCAACAAAATCTTTCTGCAATGACCAAAGAAATGAAAGAAATTAAAACCGTGATGTTTCAAATATTACAAAAGATGAATATAAATGAACCACATGTTCAAACATTGACATCATCAATTGAAATGGTGATGAACTCTGTAAAAGGTGATATTTTGATTGCTGGAGGTTGCTCAAGTGGTCCCGGAAAGAGTGTTGAAATATTTTCATGGAAGGAGGAGAAATGGTTTAATATTGTATCAATGGAAAATGAACACAGGTGGGCTTCATCATTTATTTATAATGATAATTTATTTGTTGTTGGAGGTGATGGCTACAAGTCAATGGAGACATTGAATTTAAAACAGTTTCCTTTTACATGGAGAAAATTTCCTGCAGAGCTTCCTTATAGATGTTGGGGGGCATCAAACTATTGTTTGTAAAGAACAAATCTTTCTCATTGGAGGATACATTGCTGACAAAGGAAAATCGGATTTGATCAGTGAAATAAACATTACTGGTTCAACATGTTATGTTGTCAAAGAGTTGTGTCATATGCCTGAACAACGTTGCCGCCATGGAGCTGTTGTTGTTGATGATAAAGTTCTTATTTTTGGAGGATATGGAAAAGATGGCAAAGTTTTGTCCAGTGTTTTGGAATTTGATCCAAGGACTCTTACATTTAAGGAAATGCCTCCATTACCTCATCCATTGGATGGAATGGCAACAGTTCAATGGAGAGATCAAGTTGTTCTTCTTGGAGGTTCTGATGGAAAAGAGTATTTGAACAGTGTTATCATGTATGACAGCAAAACAGGTAAGATTACAGTCTTACCATTCATGTTGGAAAAGAGATTTGGGTGTTGTGCAGTTATAACTGGTGATACAATTGTTGTCATGGGAGGTATGAATGATAAAGGTGAATATCTTAAATCAGTGGAATGTTTTGAGATGGGAAGTAGTTCTTCTTGGGAATATCTTCCTTCAATGAACAAGGTTCGATTTAAGTCCATGGCCGAAGTTTTACCTTTTGGACAAAAGTATGTATAAGCAAGAAAACGTTCATCAAATGTTATACCTTACTAAAAATTCTTGTAGCTTACACTGGATGATAAATATGTAAAGTTAAATGTGTAAACCTTTAAACCTTGTTGAGAAATTATTTCTCCACTGATTCACTCTAATGATATATATACTGTATATTGCAAGTTGTATCATAAAATACTATATACAGCACACGTCTATCACAAACTTTGCTCACCAATTAAGAATTATATATTTACATGTTATTTGTATAAATGGTATTTTTCAAATATATTACATGGATTTGCTTACATCTTTATTAAGATATACGTTGAATTTGTTTTGACTATTTCCTATGAAATATACAAAATCAATTTGTTGAGAGACTATTTACATGGAGGTACGGTAACCCCAGCAGAATGTTATCCTAGAAAGCGAGTCACCCTACGTAAATATGTTTTATAAGTAGCGTTCACACATGCGCGCAAGGTGCACCCTAGTGGTAGGGTTACACTAATAACACCAACATTTAATCACTTCTTAAGACTACACCAAACTGTAGCGTTCACACATGCGCGCTAGGGCACCCTAGTGGTAGGTTTACCCTAATAACACCAATATTCAATCACTTCTTAAGACTACACCAAACTGGATATCAATTTTCCTTAGTACTGCCATTATTATTATACGCAGCAAAATTTAAAACGTGACATACTTTATATGCATGGTAAAATTACAAGAATGGGGAAACTGCACCATTAGCTGTTGGTGTACTGTACTTTGACCACCTACGACGTGTATACTCGTACGAAATCACGTGATACGTTTCTTGCTATTTACTGGCTAAAATGACATAAATATGACAAATTGTTATTGCAGCTTCAGATTGAAAATTTTGCCACCTTTCCAGTTTCCGCTTTAACAATAAAATAACGAGAAAATTTATGTCTGAGAACTTTGTATTCTTGATGTGAACGTGACGTCATTAATAATACAGTCGCCATGTTTAGGGTTTGTAACCTGGTTTTTATACGTCAAAAAAGTACATTTTGGCTTTCATTTTGTTTTGCGTTTTGGCTGCATTTATCTTTTTCATTTCAATGGACTGTAATTTTTCTGTCATTTAAACCATTATAAGGTAGTGGTACAGTCATAGAGTCATTTGTGCTACACAGTGAAATTTAATATTCCTAGGAAAAAACGATTATAACGCACAAATATACCAGTAGAATGTCCCTCAGTTTAGCAAGTTAATATTTTAATAATAAACAGTTATTAGATGAGGTTGAGCATGATATCTAGAATTATTCAGATCAAGGTCAATGTCATCTGCCGAAGCAAAGCTGGGGGCGGATAACGTTGACAGAGGTATGAATAATTGTTGATATGATGTGAAAAACGAATTGAATAATTGTTTTATCATTCACCTTAACAAACTGAAATATTATTTACACTCATCAATGTAAAACGTTTCCAAACCTGCCCTTATTTGTAATTGTCAAACGGTTTTTTCGAGTTCTTCTTGTTTAAATATGCTGTAAATATGTTCGAAACCAGCTTCGTCGCTTTTTTAGTGTTTTCCTCATCAATTTTGTTCAAAATCTTTCGCTTATTGTTTTTAAAAACTGTGGTAAACATCAATTTATTTGATTTTTTTCAAATAGGGCTTTTTATGGCGTCAGTCTATAATTGCAGAAACTATTTTTCGTAGATATGACGTCATACCTACAGATATCAAGGATTAGAACATAGCCAAAATCACTCGGCCAATCAGCGTTCAGCATTTTGATGTTCCATATTGCAGTGTGTAAAATGCGGAGATGGAATGAAAACAATGGAATACAATTAAAGCTTAATAGTATTCACTAAATCTCATTTTTAATCCATATATAGAGAATACTAACAAGATATTGTTTTTTTATTGTTCACTTCCTTATTAGTATTCTCTAAATAGAAAATACTAATGAGGTTAAAGGATACTAATGACTGTCGTAACTCCACATTACATTTCATCTCTGAATAACTAACAAGGTGATGAAATTTAACGCGTTTCTAACGCATCTCGATGATGTAAATATATTCATGTTGAAACTAAAATAAGTCTTATGAAAAAATTGGAAAAACTAATAATTGCTCACAAAATTAAAAGCAAACACATGTGTGTTACATAAAATAAAACAACAAACATGTTTTTCCATGTTCAATAACTTTTAAAGTACGTCGTGTATTTGTCGTACTAACACTTTCTTCTTATCTACGTCAATTTTCTTTGAACTTGAAACATCCACTGGAGCAGGTTGTTGAAGTGCTTTAAAAACTGACATAACCAGAGTAGAACTTGGCCTTTTGCATCATCTAACAATGATGTGCTTCGATAACCAGTCCGACACATTATTGTTTGTTCATCAATGAAAATGTTCCTTTCTTAGATGGTTGTTGGACACGTAACCTTTCCAAAATCATTTGAAAATCTTCAACCTTTCATGTCAACGTAAACTACCTCGCACATTGTTCGTAAATATTTATAGAACGTGTTTAATTTAACAGGCTGTGAGCCATACCAATCTGATGACCTCCCCTGGCTCATCATTTTCGAGAGGTTTTGACCAAAAACCTGCCTTTACATGGAACACATCTCAAATTCTCGTTGAAAACAATCATCATCTGTAAACTAAAGATACTTGTATAAGAATACAGCATCTTAAATTCAGTACCATAAGTAATCCCTTCTGGCTTTGGCCATGCATTGTTCTAAGACGGTGCCCTAGTGAATGAAATTTTATGTAATGCGAAGGTTTCTCAATCCCATAGAGCACACATGATCGTGCTCTACCCTTACTAATTTGCAGGTAGTTGACCAAATCACTAGCTGTTAGTCATCTAAATATTTCAAAAATTCAAATTTCATGTAGGTTGGTATAAAGAAATGTCTAGTACTTATATGCTCCAATGATTAGGTACGGTGTCTAAAATTTTAGAATTCCCGTGTGTATGAGAGTCTTTGTACTTCTGTCATACAACGGCGGTCTTTCATCAAACATTATAAAATAAACACAATGAAACACGTGTGCTGATTGGTCTAGAGCTGTGTTTGCATTAGCCTGTGCAAAACACATCTGAGCTCTACCAATCAATTCAATCGTAAAAATTAACCAGTCAATGAGAATTGGCAAATCGATCATGAATAAATTTAAGATGAAAAACTAAAATGTTCGCCTGTTTCGCATTATTGTTATTTTATAAAACAAATAAAAGATGTTTCTCGTGTTTGCACTGACTTGTGGAAACCTTGGAGACGTTTGTGAGAACTCTCGAGCATGTGCAACACTCGATCTTCGGTCTCGGGCTTGCACTAATATATTCTTGATTTCTCCCAAAGGTCTCCTCGGTTTGCATAAGCCTGTGCAAGCACAGTAAACATCTTTTATTTCTTAAATGAAACACAATTCATACTAGGAATCAAAAAGGAAAGATTTAAAATTTAAAATGATATCACTAACCTTACCAGCTGTTAATAGTATGATGCCCTTCGGAGCATTGTTGTCCGAGGGCGCAACATCATTGGTCAGCGGTGATCCAGTCATGGGTATCACTCTAAATAGGAACGGATAATGAAAATGAGTAATGTGGATAAAGGACGTGGTGAGGGCGATTGGGGGATTACGGTAATGATGGTTTGGGATAAAAAATGATGGTGAGGGTTAATGTGTGATAAAGATAAGGGTGGTAAGGGTGATTGTGGCTATGTGAGTTTTGGATAAGAACAAGACTTTACGTAATATGAATGACAAACCTCTCCAGGTTTTGGAGCTCTCATACTTTTAACACGAACAATTCACGAACGAAGTTTTTGTAAAGTTTCATAGCGAAATAACGACACAAATTGATCCATATTTGATCTATTTGATCCATACGTACGTTCCCTGATATTACGATATTTACTTAAAGTATGAAGAAGAACTTTTGCAATTGGGAGATCAAAAACAAGTATGCGCGGGTTATGGGGTGACTGGGGGGCAGGCTTTAAAATGATGGTTAACTACAACTGACAATTATCCTACCTGAGCTATTGATTTTACAAGAGAGATTTCACACTGGCATTCTAAAAATAAAAAAATAAAACTTTGTGTTTTATAAACAAAGAAAAGAACACTTCTTAGCAATGAACGGTTATATATTTTGGAAAGTAGTTCTGGTAAATTGACGAATTTTTTTAAGGGGGAGGGGGGGTGAGGATTGTGTCAAATCACTTCGATCAATTTACATGGTGTCGTAACTCGTTGTGTTACTCATCCTTTATCAAGTATAAAATTATCAATATAAATTCATAAAATAGTAACTCCCCTACCACACCACCACCCGTGTCCGTCACTCTGGAAGACAAAACATCGCATATGGTGTCGTAACTCATTGTGTAACTCATTCTTTATCAAATATAAAATTATCAATATACGTACGTAAGATAGTGACTTTCTCCCTCCTTCAGCGTCCGTCACTCTTGAAAACAAAACATCACATATGGTTGTTGACAAACACAAATTATAACAGTTCATTCTAACCTTGACTTAACAGACATGTTGTCAGTCACTGATCCTGATGCTTGAAGCTCTGTTATGTACGCTGTCACCTAGCAACAAACGAAATCACGGAAAGGTGGTAAAGGAATTGTGGCAAAGTGAAGTCTGTCATGCTTTGGAAACTTTGAATCAAAGACTGGTCTCCGATATTTCATCAACGCTAAATAATTTGAGGGTCTCAAAAGATCAACACATCGTCCGTAGTCTTTGTTAAAAATACAAGTTCTCGGAGAAAGTAAAGTGTTTTACAAGTATTAAAACAAATTTCACTTTCAGGAACAAATTCTCTGTACGTCAGAGAACAGATCAATGAGCTCGTTCAAATGTGTCACTTTCACAGACTTAAAGGATTGTCTACGTACGTACGCACCTGCGCAGTAATGGCTCAATCAACATTTCCTGCGTTGTCTATAAAAAGAACAAAATTCTATCTTAGGAAGAGTAACTGATACCAGAAGAGGTCCATCTACAGGTGTCCCAAAAAACGGAACGCAAATAAATTAATTATGTATTCGCTGAAATTGCCATGCAAAATAATGTAATTAGCTGTTTTCACGAAGACGTGGAAAGGCCAGCGAGGGCCTTATCTTACTGAGTATTGAAGGTATTGGTTGAGTTACAATGTGAAGATTACTTTGCAATTTTTTTAGCCTTTAATCATAAAATTCTATGGTAAAAGTCTAAAAGGTATACACCTCTGAAAATCTGCCAGGAATCACAAGTTGCATAGAATAATGAGATAATTGTCCCAATGAAACTCTTTCTACAAATATGTGATGATATAAATGTCAAGTATATACATAATATGCTATCTGTTTGCATTCTATATTTTAGTCACTTATTAGTTAATTATTTTGAAGGTAGTGACACAGGTGCCCCAAGTTTATAAAGACATCAATGGTGTAACAGAATTTCTCAAAAGCAGCAAGATTTGCAAATGTTAGTGCATATCAGATTTTTCAGCCAGGTTGTTCGACTAAACACTGAACTCACTTAGAAATTCTTTAAATTTCATTTGGCGTACATTCTGAAAAAGGTAAAAACAACATTTCAAGACCTGGAATGATATATTGATGTAGTGGAAAAACTGGAAAAAAATTGTAAACTTGGATATGCCAATGATCTTGAAGGATGGGATGTAGTTTAGACACCACTGGTTGTGCTTAGGTAATGAAAGACTTGACCTAAAATACCAAACATTGTATTATTTCATCACAAACAAAACAGCATACAGTACTCGTAACAGACTAAAAACTGTATTCTCTTTCACATGTGACTCTAAAAGTGGCAAGTAAATAGTTGGTTTAATTTACATTGGACCAACTTATCTCTTGATGTATGACACAGACGTTTATATGGTGGTGAGCCATATAAGTCATTTACAAGAAAAGATAATCCAATATAATTTCAATACCTTAACAACTTCAATGATTGGACTCTTATAAGCATTTGCAGTCTGTGCTTTGGCTTTTTGAATGCATTTTAATATTCTTTCACTCCTGTTCTTTACTGTAGAAATACAAATACATATGCTTAAAATCACAAACAACTTCAGCGGATGATTGGTTACTTCATCCATAACAACACTTAATGTATCGACTTAATTCTTGTGCATTATTTGTAGACAAAACCATGTAAAATTTTTTTAGGTCAAAGCAGACGTAATCTTGATGATATACACCTCAGTTTAGGGTGTACTCCAAAATTTCTTCGGGGTACAAAATACGGTTTTGAAAATAATAACAACATGGGAGGTTTGAATTAAATCAACAGCTGATTTCAAATTTTATTATTTTTATCCTTAATAATTACATGAACAGTCAATGATAATACACAATTTTGTTCACAAATTTACCTTTGAGTAGAAAATCTGCTATATAATCGTTCAATTTATTTTCTTGCTCATCAATCGACATGGATGTATTTACTACCGTAATAGGGCAAAATAGGTAGTTTAATTTCTTTGACTCTGCCTGCCAACATTCTTTGGGACTTCTCGCTTTCTTTTCGGTGCCATTCACCATCACTACAACTCTATATATCTGTATATCTTTAACATAGGCAGAAAATTTTGCTCCGATATTCAAAATTTGAAGTGAAGTAACAAATATTTCAAAAACATTGCTCGCTTAAATTCTCAAATTTTGCGCGGTCATAATCAAGTCGTTTTCGTAATGGTTTCCATCCATCAAAACTACATTTATATCGCGGTCTACTGGGAGAAAGACTAGGACCTGATAAATATTGAAAGTGAAACAAAAACAAAATTTTCGACATAAACGGCGTTTTTACATTTTAAGAATTATTAATTATTCATTTTTCTTTATTTAGCTATTTTAAATCATATTTTATGTAATAGTCCATTTGTTTTAAAAAAAAACAAATGTGACTATGACTAATGCGACATAAATTATTAAGTTTTATCTCTTTTTCATCAGCATTAAAGAGTCGATTGTTTATGTTTGGTTTTTAAGATATTTGATAGAATTTTTTTTGTACACTTTCTTTAAACTTAATTTTAATTTTGAGTTTGACAAAGTAGTCAAACATTTAGGGGAATGGGTTCTAAATAGTTGTGCGCAACGATTGCAATAAAAAATTCCATCCTTTTCGAGACGTTTCAGTGATTTTACGTACATTTTCATAAGGTAACCGTCTGGTAATTGCATTGAACTAAAATACATGGAACGCTACCTGAAGGAAATTATCGAAGCCAAATCTTACACCCAGACAAGCGTGTTAAGTATTTCGAGATTCTCTAGCGGAGTGAAAATTGACTGACTACAAACGCGTGTCTGGATGTAATCTCGCGGTGTCTGGGTGTAAAATTTGCCTTCAAAATATTATTAGGCTTATCTATTACAGATAGCGTTCCATGTATTTTAGTTCAATGGGTAATTGGAAGGAGTTCGTATTTTTGCACGTGATATACAAATTTGAAAACAAAATTTTCTTTCTTTTATTGCTCTCCGTACTCTCAGTGTATGTTATGTGTTTTTGTGTTCACATGCTTACATCATGTTTAGGTAAAGCTTCTCATTGGCTGAAACGGGTCACATGCTCACTGGATATCCTTCTCTGATTGTACTCTCTCTTTATAGCAAGAGTGTATGAAGTATATTACGTTGATCATGATGTTTGTTATTCATAGCTCAGGCTTTTTCATAACAAAGAAAATGTTTTTAGTAGTTTTCATACGGTTGAAGAAGCTGTCTACTGCATCAATTTTTACTACGTTTGTAGCTACTTTGTAGTGGTAAATCTTTTGTCGAGATTGTTTACAGAAGTTGGTCGGCTCGTATTGGCCATCTGCACCTAAGCCTTTGAACAAAGTTTTGACGAATTATGGTATTCAAATTTCAAAGAGAGAACGGTTGGTACAGCAAATAACAAGATTACTTTATTTTGTTGGTTATGTCGGTGTAATTTTTGCTCATTTAGTATGTAGCTCAAGTAAAAAAGACGTCCTTGCCCCTAGTTGGTATAAACGTGAGTGCTCCGAAACAATCTTTCGTCAAACTGAATTGAGTAGTGGTTGCTTGGGAGAGAAAAATTGTAAAGACAATATGTCTCCCAGGTCCGTTTCAACACTTCATTCCAACTTTCGAAATTTTCAATTGGCTTAACTTCGACTTTGTCATTGTCTCTTTTTTCAGCTTTCCATCCAATGAAGAAAGTCCATCGACATTCACTCATTACAAGAGCTAGCGTGTTGTCTGTTGTATCATAAATATGTGTAGAACAAATTAATTTCATGTTCCTGTGCGTTTTCTGTTATAGCAGGAAGTAATAGTACAGGTAGCTTTTTGTAAAGTCATTGCTTTTCATAAAAAATTGTCCGAAATCTTAGTCCCATTTACAGAAATCGCATGCAGTGTAAGAGAAGACAGAAATTTTGCATATTCTATGTATCTAATAATCCATGAGTGGATTGCAAAAAAACAGCAAGGAAACAAATTTGATAACATGCAAGTCGCGCAAAAAATAACGCCCGAGAAGAAACAAAGAAGCTTTGGGCCATGAGAGATAGCTAATAAAAGCCATCTGTCAAGGACGTTGAACTCTATGAATAACAGTTCAATAATCAAGAACTATTTTATATTCCTGCCATTTTTCCGCATTTTTTTTCTTTCGCAACGTAAACTTATCTACTTATCTTTAAGTTTCGTTGTTCTTGTTAACGATTCTCTAATACAATTTAGAAAGCTTCAAACTCATACAGCAACGAATCATCTAAGATTTGTCTTCATACAATGTAACGGATGCAATGTGGTTGTTCTGCGTAATCTAAATGAAAAAATTGACAAGGGGAAAACATTCGTTAAACTTTCTAAACAATCATTATCAAAAGCCTCAACAAATATTGAAGTTGCGTATCAAGGTATAACTGACTGGAATATGGAAACTAGAATCTCAATTTGACTATAGATATTAAGAAATTTTCTATACAACTACGGTCTAAATGGCAACTACCGCAAAGCAACTTGTTCAACTGATAAGTATTAACAAATGAAAATGCGATAGTTGTCGCTGTTGAATTTCAATTTTAGCACCAAAGGACTTTTGCTAACCTACAGGGCTTTCGCGTGCATTTAATCACTAAGTAATCTAAGTATCATGGTCTTACTTTGTAATATTATGATTGCCAAACGTTCTAGTGCTTCACACATTGTCAAAGATGTTGTAAATTACTTGTTTTTGTGAATACTTTGAGATGATTTTTGGAATTTTTGTAAAACAACCAGTAACAGACGATGTGCAAGGTCGTATTACTTGTAATGTAAAATTATAAATATGACCTTGGGTCATATCACGCAAATATGACCAATAATACATTTAAGAATCGTAAAAAAGTACGCAGTGTTTTTAAATATTCATCTAACCAAAGTTCTTCGAGTAAAGTGTACGGAACTGGACTATATGGAAGAACCACTTTGCGTCACATTTCTTGTATTATTCTCCCAAGCAAGATATAAACGATGTTTGCGAAACTGGCATTTTTGTATGATATATCAAGCCGAGTATTGAGCTATCAAGTTGTATGTATCAGTAGTTAAGACCAGGGGCGGATCCAGGATTTTTAATTCCTTAGTCGGAAGGGCGTGGTCGAACAAAATTTTAATAAATGGGCGTGGTCGCATTTATTAAAATTCTGCTAACGCAACATTGTTAATATGATGAATTATAAGGACTGTTTCACCCTATATCAGAGCTCATCAGCATGCCTAGGAAATGGCACCCTCACCACGTGAAAATGCAATTCCGACATGGACAGCCTCAACGTAATGAGAAGCCTTAAACAAAAAGAGAGCAGTCTGGTTTTAAGGCGCCAGATACTCGCCTTTCACACCTTTGCAACAAAGCAACAGGAGTTTGATTAGAAAAGCGACAATGTGGGACATTTCAAAGATGTAAAATTGCTCAGTTTTCTACATCATCCCTGTCATTCTAATCCTTTAACCTCGCCCCAAGAATATGCACACACATAATCTGAATCTAATGGTTATTTTGCCGAGCTAAACAGAAAAGTAACACAAACCACCGCTAAAGAAAACGTCGAAACGCTGACCTAAACATTCAATTTCCATAAATTTTGACGATACTCCAAGCTCAAACTGATTTCTTTTATAAAAAGGTATTGTTTAGGAAAAGATATGCTATTGACTGGTGACACAGTTAACTTATTAATTCCTTTGAGAGCATGACTCCAAATGTCAGTAACCCTGTTAATGATGAAGTTAAATATTTGGTCTTTCATAAGGTCAATTGTTCCTTCACAAGTATCACAATTAGACAAAGTTGTTTTATTCCCAGATCAAAACGCATATGCATTAATTAAGACCTTACAAAAGGTGAATATTTCTTGTATGTTAGGTAACTTCATCAAAACGCGCATCATATATATTTTAAGATGTAGATCGCCAGGGTTAGTATAGTCCTTAGAAGGACTGTTGGTGTTGATGTTGACTGACGTTTCGACAACCTTAGTGGTGGTCATTTTAAAAGTCTAGTGACAGAAGATGTTGTATATTTGTACCATTTTCACAGAGATACAAAAGCAATTGTGCTGTGTATGACACACATAAATTGACGTTTTCAATGTTCTTTTAAAAAGTGCTACGAGAAAGAGATGAAATACTACACCCAATATTCCTAATTCAAACTTGAATAGACATATTAAAATGATGCAACACATCATACAAATAATTTCAAAATGGTTTCACGCAGGCTCAGAGGATTACCCATAGTGAAATTATTTAATATACAAAATTAAGGCAAAGTGACACGTTTGTCACTAAGATTTATGAGATATCATGACTATACAAAAAATTAGAAGCTCTTTCTTTCCTTCTCGTCAAAACTATAATGACCAAGCCTAAAGAGTCAAATTTTTACAATTTCAGTTCTAATCGCCGGTTTCCATACGCAAATTTATTGATCACCTCATCAACAGTAGGCTCTATTTCCTGATGTATTCGCATTAGTGCAAGTCCATTTAAGCGTTCTTCAACCATCGTACTTCTGTTGTAAGTTTTAAGCATGCGAAGTGCTGAAATAGAGCGTTCGCACTCACAAGAAGTAACTGGAAGAGTGGCTAGTAACCGTAGACATGCCTTAATATTCTCAAAACCTTCAAACCCTAAAGCTTTAAGTGTGGAAGCTGCACTGTCCGGTAATGATCCCTCATATGTTGTCCAAAACTTTTCCCATAATTCCAATTCAGCATCTAATCCTAAGGGATTAGGAAGATCATCTTTGTAAAAATCTGAAAACAAACGAAAATTCTCTTTCCAATTCTTTTGTTTGGTGGAAGACTGTTAATTAGCGAAATCATTTTGATGGAACAACGCTAAAGCCGTTATAAACGTTGATTTGACTAAAATCAAATCTTGCCTGAAGATCAGAGTTTAAGTGGTCTAGAAAAGGAATAGTGAGAGCCTTTTGTAATAATCTGAAGCGTTAGAAGATGGGTGATTCTCATTGTGAACTTGTCTGCCAGCTGTTCTGGGCATTTTTCATCGACATCTACGTTTTTAGCTAAAGAAACTGCTTCACTATACCATTTACCATGATATAAATCAACATCATTCCTCAATAAAATTCCCAAGTTTTTTAATGACTCAATTAAATGCATTCCATCCATAACATCACAGGTTTTAGCTTGTAATAACTGAGTAACAGGAAGTGTTAAATCTAAAATATTTCTACTAATGACAAGGCTAACAATAAATCTGAAGGTGGAAATCAATGCTAGGAAAGAAGAAGCTTTAGAAGATGTTTCTGGATTACACACATGACCAGCATTATGGCTCATTTCAGTTAAAGTATGAAAAATTGGAAGGAATAATTCTTGAAATATATCTAGACCATCTATTCGCTCAATCCATCGAGTTCGACAAACATCCTTTAACTTTGATTTACCTGAATGTGGGCAATAGTCTTCAACTGCTTTTGAAAGTAACATTTGCCGTCCATCAGAGAGATTGAAAAGTAAGAAAGTTCTTTAATTTGACTAAAAACATTTCTGACAAAGGGGACAGAACATGAATTACATATTGCAAGATTTAACCTATGGCTGTAACAGTGGGTGTAGATTGCTTTAGAATTCAAACGAAGAATGCGTGCAGAAAGACCATTGATATGCCCTGCAACAGCCCCAGCTCCATCATATCCCTGACCTCTGCAATCCTCAATGCTTAATTTTAGTTCTGTTAATGCACTGTGAATTAATTTCTCAAGACTTTCCCCTGATAAACCCCATTTGCAGTGCAAAAACCTCACAAAATCTTCTCTAACATTCCTATTGCTATCTACAAAACGAATCACAAGAGAAAGCTGCTCTTTGTTTGCAGAATCTGCTGCTTCATCAGCAATTATACTAAAAAATTTATTTATTTTTATTTCACTAGTTATTTTTTCAGTGATAACCTGTCCACAAGCAGCAATTAGATCATTTTGAGTAGTCTTTGAAATATAAGAAGCATTCTTTGGACAGTTTTTCAAATGATCAGCTAAAACTGTGTCACTAGCCTGAACACGAAAATTTAACAATTCAACATAGTTACCAACACCACCTTTTGAGTAAGAACCAACCTCCGGATGATATGAAGAATCATCACGGTGCCCTCTTAATGCTAACCCAAGTCTACCACAAAGTTTAATAGTATCAATTATTGATACAAGTTTTTCCCTATTTTGCCTGATGACTTGCTGTTTGTGCTCATCAATCAACACCTCAATCTGCAGTCCTTCTCCTGATGCTTGACCAACTAATGACAAATATTTATTACGTGTGCTTTCGTGCAAACCTGCTCTGGTGAGAGCCTTAGAACTCAAACCAATATGGCGTTTGAAGCAAGCTTTAGCATCAGGCCAATATGTCATTGGTTCACTAAAAGGTTTTTTAATTTTTGTATTTTTATTCGAAACTGATCACCAAACAAAACACAAGGCAGACAAAAAGCACCATCCAAAGAAGGGGAGTAACACAACCAAGAATAATCTTCCAGCCACGAATAAAGAAAAGATCGACCATCAGCTGATTTAGGAAATGGGTAGGATCTATTCGGTTTAAAAACATTGTGAATGAGCTGGAGCTTTTGAGAATCATTCATATTTCTAGCTTTTTCTCTAAAATATCTCACATCATTTGGATATTGCTGTGAAAAATCTAATGAAAATGATTGCAAAAGTTCTTGTTTTGGGTTATGTATTAAACCAAGACTAGTGATGGCAGGCACCTTTTGTGTTGATTGTGTTTGTGTAGTACTAAATAATTTGGGCAAAATAAATTGTTTAGCCTTATTACTTGCTGGGGTTGAAACTGGTTGAAAAAAATTAGAAATGTTAACAGTAGAAGACTCTCCTTTCACATGAGGAATTTTCTTGTTAGCTTTTTCTAACAAAGCAGAAGCCTTTCTTTTAGTTTTACTGATAGGTTTGAAAATAAGAGGTGCAAAGTGATTTGGCTTAAAGACTTTACTAGAAGTCAATAGAGTTGTAGAACAAAACAAGAGGTATAAATAGTTATATTGAGTAGGTGGTGTTGGTAAAGGAAGACGAGGTGAAATAATTTGGTTGAACAACAACTTAAAAGAAACTTCTCCACAATCAGGATACATCAAAGAAATGATTCTATTAGTAACTGAGGAGAGAGCAAGTATACACAAAAAAACTACCCCAAATTTTATCTCTACAGTTGCAAAGAGCTTCCATTTTAACAAGATCAAGCCCTGATAAACCTGAATCCACACTTTCAAAACAACAGGACATAGCCAAAACATTTTTTGCACTAACAGAGACCTTGTCACCATGCTTCTCTAAGGTGGAAGTGAATATTGGATGATAACAATAATAATTTGCATATATAAAAAAGCTCTATAGATACCATAGCTCTCAAAGTGTGAATGAGAGCATTGCTTCCAACCAAGGCCAGAGAAGCAGAGCTGTATAGGCAATTTCCAGATGGTTCAGATCTAATAAAACAGCAGTCGAAAGATTTCTTGATTATTATAAGACTGCAACAATTTATGCAATGTCAACAAAGCGAGTTAAAAGCGATCATTTCAACAACAATGAAATGACAACAAATCGGCAGTTTTGGTCTTAACGTGTCATAACAACTACGCAATTAGGCTTATATTCATTTCTACTTATCTTAATTTAACTAATTTTACCTTAGAGCAACCGATGGCTTCGTATTGTCGGCCTTCACATGATGAGGCAAATAGACTGTCTCAGCATTTACATCACGATACAAAGATCGTCCAATTAAAGGAAAATGCTCTTCAGGCATTAAGAAACGAGAAGAATTATATATACCACATAATTCCTCAAAGGTCTTAAGCAAAGCAACATCATCACTTTTTTAAGTCAGAGAGAACCCGATCTAAAATACTGCTAGAGTTAGCCATGACGATCGATAAATATTCAAGCGCAATGAAGCAGACAAATATATTCCGACTAAGTTCGCTACAACAACCAATCAAATCCGAAGATTCGGCAACATCATATACCAAAAATAGATATATCCTGCAAAAAACTAACAATGTTGACCAATCACAAGCTTTAAATTGGTATAGATCCTGCAAGAAATCTCCACCAATTACAGTTATATAGCTGGTTCGTCTGGGCAAATCAGAATCACAGAATGAACATAGATCCTGCAGATCATGCACGGATACGCTAACCAATGAATGCTCGCAAATTGATCAATTTAAACCAATCAAAATCGGTATATGGACCCAAATCCTGCGGAAATTTTAAAGCACTCAAGTGTTATGATTTAAGGAATACCCACGGAATTTTTTGAAAGTGACACGTTAATACGTTAGTCGCCCGACTTAGTTGACTAAGTTTAAATCCGCCTCTGAAGACAGACAAAACGGGATCGTACGTGCAAAAGAAACGATGTCAATACTCATTGAAAATCAAATTGTTTGTCCAATCCTCACGTAGAGATAAATAATAGTGATTTGATTGACCGCTCGTAATGAACGTAATCTAGTTTTTTGCAGTATTAAATTACTTATATAAAACACAACTACACATTGTTCTTTGTTTTCAACTTCCGTATTGATCAAACATCGACTGCAATCTTCAACGTATCTTTTCAGTTTTAATTGTAAAAATAAACAAATAATTTTGTCTGTTTCTTGGATTAATTTTGACACTAAATCATAAAGGAAGAAGACGTATGAAATGGCTAGTCGTCCTAATGTTTATGAAAGTGGATATGAAGAATCAAGATTTAAGACTGTTGTTGATGAAAATTTTTACTGTTCAATTTGTTTGAATGTCATGAAAGATGCCAGAATGTGCCATAATCAACACTGTTTTTGTCGTGAATGTATTGAAAAACATCTACGAGTTAATGCACAAAGATGTCCTCAATGTCAAGTTGTTTTAACTGTAGCTACGCTTCATCCAGCGCGTGTTATAAATAATATGATTTCAAAGTTAAAGATTAAGTGCGACTACGCCAGTCGTGGTTGTCCTGAATTTATAAATGTCGACGATCTTCAAAAGCATGTTGAAAATTGTGGCTTTGCTCCAGTGTTGTGTTCTAATGAACGTTGTGGTCTGGAAATAAACAAACGAGACAAGATTAAACATGAAACTGAGTTATGTGAATATAGAAAGATTGCTTCTCACTACTTTGAAGAGATTAAAGAAATGTTTCAAACAAGTTTTGAAGACAAAATGGAAATACAAATGAGCAACTTAAGCAGGAAAATAGACAAAGATAGAGAAACAATCAATAGAAAAATTAATCAAAAATTTATTCAAGTAAAAGAATCAGTGAAACCATTGACATCTCAGTATATAAAAATACAGAAAGAATTGTTGGAGTCAAGTGAAGAAATAAAAAATGTTCAACAAAATCTTTCTGCAGTGACCAAAGAAATGAAAGAAATTAAAACCGTGATGTTTCAAATGTTGGAAAAGATGAATATAAATGAACAACATGTTCAAACATTGACATCATCAATTGAAATGGTGACGAATTCAGTAAAGGGTGATATTTTGATTGCTGGAGGTTGTGGCAAGTTTTTCTTCTTAAATAGGGTTGAAATATTTTCATGGAAAGAAGAGAAATGGTTTAAGACTGCATCAATGGAAAAAGTACACAGTTGTGCTTCATCATTTATTTATAATAATAATTTATTTGTTGTTGGAGGACTTCACTGCAAGTCAATAGAGGCATTAAACCTAAATCAGTTACCTTTAACATGGAAGACATTTCTTAATTTTAAAGAGCTTCCTTATGAATGTTGTGCTCATCAAACTATCGTTCATAAACAAAAAGTCATTCACATTGGAGGAAGTATTTTTGGTAAAGGAGCAACTGATCTGATCAGTGAAATACAGATTACCAGTACAACATCTTGTGTTTTGAAAGAGTTGTGTCATATGCGTGAACCCCGGTATGGCCATGGAGCTGTTGTTGTTGATGAGAAAATTTATATTTTAGGAGGATATAGAAAATGTATGAAAGTTTTGTCAAGTGTTTTGGAGTTTGATCCAAGGACACTTAAATTTAAGGATATGCCTCCATTACCTCATCCATTGACTGACATGGCAACAGTTCAATGGAGAGATCAAGTTGTTCTCCTTGGAGGTCGTGATAATCGAAGAGAAATATTGAGCAGTGTTATCATGTATGACAGCAAAACAGGTAATATTACCGTTTTACCATCCATGTTGGAAAAGAGATTTGGGTGTTGTGCAGTTATAACAGGTGATACAATTGTTGTCATGGGAGGTCAGGATGATAAAGATAGAGATCTTAATTCAGTGGAGTGTTTTAAAATGGGAAGTAGTTCTTCATTTACATATCTTCCTTCAATGAATGAATCACGATATGTAGCTATTGCAGAAGTTTTACCTTTTGGACAAAAGTATGTATAACCAAAAAAACGTTCATCAAACGTTATAACCTTCTAAAAATTCTTGTAGCTTACACTGGATGATAAATATGTAAAGTTAAATGTGTAAACCTTTAAGCTTGTTGAGAAATTATTTCCCCACTGATTCCCTCTAATGATATATATACTGTATATTGCAAGTTGTATCATAAAATACTATATACAGCACACGTCTATCACAAACTTTGCTCACCGATTAAGAATTATATATTTACATGTTATTTGTATAAATGGTATTTTTCAAATATATTACCTTGCTTTGCTTAAATCATAATTAAATTATGCGTTGAACTTGTTTCGACTATTTCCCATGAAATGCGCGCTAGGGGCACCCTAGTGGTAGGGTTACCCTAATAACACCTACATACAACCACTTCTTAAGACTACACCAAGCTGTAGCGTTCACACATGCGCGCTAGGGGCACCCTAGTGGTAGGTTTACCTTAAAACACCAGCATTCAATCACTTCTTAAGACTACATCAAACTGGACATCAATTTTCCTTAGTACTGCCATTATTATTATACGCAGCAAAATTTAAAACGTGACATACTTTATATGCATGGTAAAATTACAAGAATGAGGAAACTGCCCCATTAGCTGTTGGTGTACTGTACTTTGACCACCTACGACGAGTATACTCGTACGAAAGCATGTGATAAGTTTCTTTCTATTTACTGGCTAAAATGACGTAAATATGACAAATTGTTATTGCAGCTTCAGATTGAAAATATTGCCACATTTCGAGTTTCCTCTCGGACAATAAAATAACGTGGAAATTTTATACCTGAGAAGTTTGTATTCTTGATGTGAACATGACGTCATCAATAATACAGTCGCCATGTTTAGGGTTTGTAATCTGGTTTTTGTTCTGCCAAAAAAAGTACATTTTGGCTTTCATTTTTTTGTTTTGCGTTTTGGCTTCAATTATTTTTTTTTCATTTCAATGGACTGTAATTTTTCTGCCATTTAAACCATTATAAGTTGGTGGGACAGTCACAGTGATTTGTGCTTCACAGTGAAATTTAGTATTCCTCGGAAAAAACGATTATAAAGCACAAATATAGCAGCAAAATGTCCCTCAGTTTAGCAAGTTAATATTTTAATAATAAACAGTTTTTACATGAGGTTGAGCATGATATCTAGAATTATTCAGACCGAGGTCAATGTCATCTGCCGAAGCAAAGCTGGGGGCGGATAACGTTGACAGAGGTATGAACAATTGTTGATAACATACGAAAAACAAATTGAATAATTGTTTTATCATTCACCTCAACAAACTGAAATATTATTTACACTCATCAATGTATAACATTTCCAAACCTGCCCTTATTTGTAATTGTCAAACGATTTTTTCGAGTTCTTCTTGTTTAAATATGCTGTAAATATGTTCGAAATCAGCTTCGTCGCTTTTTTAGTATTTTCCGCATCAATTTTGTTCAAAAGCTTTCCTTTTGTTTTTAGAAACTGTGGTAAACATCACTTTATTTGATTTTTTTTCAAATAGGGCTTTTTATGGCGTCCGTCTATAATTGCAGAAACTATTTTTCGTAGATATGACGTCATACCTACAGATATCAAGGATTAGAACATAGCCAAAATCACTCGGCCAATCAGCGTTCAGTAATTTGATGCTCCATATTGTAGTGTGTAAAATGCGGAGATGGAGTGAAAACAATGGAATACAATTAAAGCTTAATGGCATTCACTAAATCTCATTTGTATTCCCTATATAGAGCATACTAACAAGATATTGTTCTTTATTGTTCACTTCTTTATTAGTATCCTCTAAATAGAAAATACCAATGAGGTTAAAGGATACTAATGACTGTCGTAACTCCACATTACATTTCATCTCTGAATAACTAACAAGGTGATGAAATTTAACGCGTTTCTAACGCATCTCGATGATGTAAATATATTCATGTTAAAACTAAAATAACTCTTAAGAAAAAATTGGAAAAACTAATAATTGCTCACAAAGTTAAAAGCAAACACATGTGTATTACATAAAATGTAACAACATACGTGTTTTCCCATGTTCAATAAATTTAAAGTACGTCGTGTATTTGTCGTACTAACACATGCTTCTTTCTTCTTATCTACGTCAATTTTCTATGGACTTGAAACAACTACTGTAGCAGGTTGTTGAAGTGCTTTTAAAACTGACATAACCAGAGTAGAACTTGGCCTTTTGCATCATCTTGTTTGTTCATCACTGAAAATGTTCTTTTCTTAGAGGGCTGTTGGGCACGTAACCTTTCCAAAATCATTTGAAAATCTTCAACCTTTCATGTCAATGTAATCTACCTCACACATTGTTCGTAAATATTTATAGAACGTGTTTAATTTAACAGGTTGTGAGCTATACCAATACAATGTCCCCTGGTTCATAACTTTCGAGAGGTTTTGAACAAAAACCTGCCTTTACATGGAACACATCTCAAATACTCGTTGAAAACAATCATCAGCTGTAAACTAAAGATACTTGTATAAGAATACAGCATCTTAAATTCAGTACCATAAGTAATCCCTTCTGGCTTTGGCCATACATTGTTCTAAGACGGTGCCCGAGTGAGTGAAATTTTATCTAATGCGAGGGTTTCTCAATCCCATAGAGCACACACGATCGTGCTCTACCCTTACTAATTTGTAGATAGTTGACCAAATCACTAGAAGTTGGTCATGTAATATTTCAAAAATTCAAATTCCATGTAGGTTGGTATGACGAAATGTCTAGTACTTATATGCTCCAATGATTAGGTACGGTGTCTAAAATTTTAGAATTCCCGTGTGTATGAGAGTCTTTGTACTTCTGTCATACAACGGTGGCCTTTCATCAAACATTATAAAATAAACACAATGAAACGTGTGCGCTGATTGGTCTAGAGCTGTGTTTGCATTAGCCTGTGCAAAACACATCTGAGCTCAACCAATCAAATCAATCATAAAAATCAACTAGTCAATGAGAATTTGCAATCGATCATGAATACATTTTAGAGGAAAAATTAAAATGTTCGCTTGTTTCGCATTATTGTTATTTTATAAAAGAAATAAAAGATGTTTCTCGTGTTTGCACTGACTTGTGCAAACCTAGAAGACGTTTGTGAGAATTCACGAGCATGTGCAACACTCGATCTTCGGTCTCGAGCTTGCACTAATCTACTCTCGAGTTCTCCCAAAAGGTCTCCTCGGTTTGCATAAGAATGTGCAAGCACAGTAAACATCTTTTACTTCTTAAATAGAACACAATTGATACTAGGAATCAAAAAAGTAGGCACTAAAATGAAATCACTAACCTTACCACATGTTAATAGTATGATGACCTTGGGAGCATTGTTGTCCAAGGGTGCAACATCATTGGTCAGCGGTGATCCAGTCATAGGTATCACTCTAAGTAGGAACGGATAATGAAAATGAGTAATGTGGATAAAGGACGTGGTGAGGGTGATTGGGGGATTACGGTGATGATGGTATGGGATAAAAAATGATGGTGAGGGTTAATGTGTGATAAAGATAATGGTGGTGAGGGTGATTGTGGCTATGTGAGTTTTGGATAAGAACAAGACTTTACGTAATATGAATGACAAACCTCTCCCCAGGTTTTGGAGCTCTCATACTTTTAACACGAACAATTCACGAACGAAGTTTTTGTAAAGTTTCATAGCGAAATAACGACACAGATTGTAGTAGAAGTTTTGCTGGCTCATATTTCAAAATCTATAAATACAACTTTCTATTTGATCCATACGTACGTTCTCTGATATTACGATATTTACAAAAAGTATGAAGAAGAATTTTTGCAATTGGGAGATCAAGAACAAGTATGCGCGGGTTATGGGGTGACTGGGGAGCAGGCTTTAAAATGATGGTTAACCACAACTGACAATTATCCTACCTGAGCTATTGATTTTACAAGAGAGATTTGACAATGGCATTCTAAAAGTAAAAAAATAAAACTCTGTGTTTTATAAACAAATAAAACAACACTTCTTAGCAATGAACGGTTATATATTTTGGAAATAATTCGGGTAAATTGACGAATTTTTTTACGGGGGAGGGAGGGAGGATTGTGTCAAATCATTTCAATCAATTTACATGGTGTCGTAACTCGTTGTGTTACTCATTTTCTATGAAATATAAAATTATCGGAGAAACTTTTATCTTTTATGTATTAAATGCCTGGATTACAAATTTTCAAACTTATAAAATCGACATATGGGATAGATATTCTCAGAAGAACAAGAAAATGGGAATTATTCGCACGTAAAGAGACATCAACATTTGAGCAGCTTCACTTCCTACACAAATGCAAACAACAACGAATCCTACTAATTAGCATCAACCACCATTAAAAACAACTCACGCTCGACAAATTGCACAATCAAACGGCCGCCGTATGTTAAACGTTCTCATATCAGATGCCCACAACCGCTTACGAATCTACCGTCATAAACTACAAGAACATCGAGAAGCCGTAACAACATACACAACATAATCAGACGCCAAATCCATTAAAGGGGTTATATCACGAATTTTAGCCCCCCTTTTTTATTAGCTAAATTGAAAGACCTTATTTCAGTGATTTTAAATCTGCAATTATAATTGAAATTGGATTGGTGAAAGTGATTTTATGGACGTTCAAAGTCACGATTTTCAGCATTTTTTTTGCGAACTTTTTGATCGGTATGCTAATGAGTTGTGACGTAGATAGTTGAACACATATATCAACATGGCGTATTCTACTAGTAATCTTAATAAGAAACGCGGAGGAAAACGCTGTGTTGCTGGCGGACCTAATCAAATTAGTTGCGCCAATGATTCAAAAACCGAAGGAATGTCGATGCATCTGTTTCCTAAAAAAGAAACAGAGCCGCAAATACATAGAAAATGGGTAAATTTTGTGCGTAAACACAGACCGGGTTTTGAGGCTTCCTCTACCTCGTGTCTGTGTTCTGCGCATTTTGAAGATTCTTGTTTTGACCTAAATTTGAGCGTGTAAGTCAAGCTCAAAAGAAGGTTGAAGAAAGATGCTATCCCAACCATTGACGTGGCTGGGATTCCTGAACCATTACAGGACGAAATAACCGATCGAAAGCGAAGACAAGTAAGTTTACGCTTGTTTATGTTAATTTTTCTTTTGTCATAAGTAAATTCGATATAAGTTTTGTAGATTATTCGACATACTCTCCATAAGCCATCGCTGAAGGAAACATGTTCTCTCAATGAGGAAGTACCATCTACTAGTGATGAAGCTGAGCATGTTTAAGTATGCACTGGGGAAGCAAATGATTCGCCATTTGAACGGCTTGCTATTTTCCATTTTACATTTATGCTATGATTTAATTCCATATATTTTTCTTTTGTCTTTTTCCCAGACTGACATTGAAGAAAAGATATTCTTTCATTTAATTCTTTCAGCTTAACCTCTCAGTAGTTGCACCAATTTGTTTTTATTGTTTACTCTTGTTTCAAACCATTAAACTGCATGTCAACTTATATAGTGCATCCATGTATCTCCTATTTGGTTTTCATCTAGGCATATTTCCTGACCATTCCAAACTCAGCAAATAAGGTCAACAGTCTCTACAGTGCACAAGACTATTCCATCATTGCCCCTCTGATGGTATGTAACCTGTTGTGTTACCACTTGGATATGCTTTCCGAATAAAGTGGTAAACACAAGCAGGTAAAGGCCGAGTATTCTCCCATCCCATAGACCCACAAAACCATCGCATCAACCATCTGTATGCCACAGCTCTCAAGTACCTGAAGTAAATAAAAAAGGTTGGACTAATTATTGTTGATGAAACAATGTTGATGATAACATTCTTTCTCATACAATTTACAATCTTACATATTTAATGATTGTGATGCTTGGCGGCGATAAGCACGTCCATTCCTATCTCTCAATAGTGGCCCGACGTTTTCAAGGACAGCCTCATGAACTAAAGGCCCTAATTTGGCATGCTGTGTTATGCATGATATTTTCTCAATGCTGCCATCGAATGTCATTTTCTGCAAAGCTGGTCCTATTTCCTTACAGCATCTGTACTCTAATGCGCCTTGTAACAAATCGGTATGACAGCATTGACAATTACACCTGAAACGTGGGAGCATTGTGGTTTATAAAGTAACTTTATGTATATTACAAACAGGAGAAAACAACAACTTACCATTCACCGAGTGGAATTACGCCATCACTTCGTTGTTCTAAGGTCGCAGGAGAATTCCATCGGGATCATCTGGAGTATGCACTTCTCACCATCTCCTGCGAGCGGTTCATCGTCATATGCGAAGTCGTTTAAATGCTCGACATAACCCACGGATTCCGAGCTCGAATCAGATACGCATTCAGACATCGAATTCGAATTATCTGAGCACTGATTTGAAGCCATACTTTCCGGACAACTTGTTTTTTAATATTTTATTGAAAATACTGTCATTATTTGTTTTAACACAAGAAAACGACAACAAAATCACCTCCTATAATATAATATTATATTGACGGAAACAGACGTGTTCAACTATCTACGTCACAAGTATCAATATGGCGTCGTAAAAAATTCGCAAAAAGTACCCGACTTTGGAGGCAAAATTAAGGAACTTATATTTATCTGTTTAAGTCCAGCGACATGTCATAGTTCTTCAAATAATCCAAATTTTCAATTAAGCTAATAAAAAAGGGGGGCTAAAATTCGTGATATAACCCCTTTAATGAAGCCATCAAAAAAGCAACATCCGCATATAAAACAAAATGACACCACGAACTTCATCCGAAAATTACAAGAATCCAGACTTAAAAAAAACTCCATCCCAACACAAACGAATTTGTCACAAACATCTCGAACAAACCACTAACCGAACAGCAAACTAAAATTTTAAACAAAGGATTAAATTACAACTTTAAAGACGCGAACAAACTTGACTACGTTGCCGACCTGGAATCCGCTTTAAAGTAAACCAACTTAACAGACCAAACGAAAGGAGACATTCGTCACAAAATCACAAATAACCTCTGCCACAAACCACCTGTCACCTTAAACTACGAAGAACTACGAGCAATTAAAAACCTACAAAACGACGACCAAATAATCATATTACGAGCTGACAAAGGACGCAAAACAGTTATCATGGACAAATCAGAATACATCGACAAAGCCAAAACCCTCCTACAAGACACCACCACCTACGAACTTCTCCACACAGACCCCAGCAAAACGACCACCAACCGCATCAACCAGAAACTGAAACAACTAAAAGACAAAAAGAAACTAAACGAAAATGACTACAGAAGAATCCGACCCAATGACGCATCCACCGCCAAATTCTACGCACTACCAAAAATCCACAAAGAAAACAACCCACTTCGACCTATCGTATCACTTCCAGGATCACCTACGTATGAACTTTCAAAATATCTTTATAACATTCTGTATCCATTAGTCAAAAATTCACCTCACACCATCAGAAATGCCACCACTTTCCTCGCCAGTATTGAAAACAGTAAACTACGACCAGACGAAATCATGATATCCTACGACGTGACATCACTCTTCACATCCATACCACTAGACATCGCCAAACAAATTACAAACGAACTACTCACAAACGACAAAACTTGGCAAGCTACAACAAAACTAGACAAAAATGACATCCTAGACTTACTCAACCTTTGCCTCTGCAGTGAATTCACCTTCCAAAACACATACTACAGACAAATTTCAGGCACACCAATGGGATCACCACTATCCACATTCCTCGCAGAAGCTGTCATGCAACACCTCGAAACACAATCAGTCACAAACAACACAAACATCAGACTATGGAAAAGATATGTCGACGACATCTTTGCCATAGTCAAGAAAGACAAAACTGAACAAATCCTACACACCATAAACAATACCACAAAGAACATTACTTTTACTAAAGACGAAGAGCACGACAAACAACTTACCTTTCTCGACATCCTACTAACCAGAACAGATGACGGTACACTAAACACACAAGTATACCGCAAAACCACCCACACAGACCAAATACTCGATTTCAACAGCAATCATCCAACACAACACAAAATAAGCTGCATTCGAACACTTTTCAACAGGATAAACACTCATTGTAATACGGAAGAAGCCAAAAAAACAGAACGCAACTACTTATACTCCACATTTATTAAAAACAATTACCCTAGAAACTTCATAAACAAAACTATATACAAAATACAAAACAAAACACAAACCGACAAAAGCAACAAGCAACCGGACGAAACAGTAAAAATCGTCACATTACCATACATACATAAACGGAACATCAGAAATGACTGCCAGACTTCTTCGACCATTTAATATTAACGTCGCCCACAAACCTACACAAAAACTCAAATCATGTTTCACCAAACATAAAGACAAAACAACAATTCATGATACAACTGACGCGATCTACATGATACCATGTAAGGACTGTTCAAAGCAATACATAGGACAAACATCTAAGAAAATTGAAACAAGACTCACAGAACACAAAACGCCATAAAACGACGAGATCCGAACTCACTACCGGCAGAACATACCCACGGAAACAACCACATTCGACTGGACAGAAACTAAAGTACTCGGACGCGCACAGACTAAACACGCACGCGAATTTAAAAAAGCTTGGTACAGTAAAGACAACGACACAATAAACAGACATATTGACATACCCATCATATACTCACAACTAAAGAAAAAGCACAAAAAAACTACAAACAACACCAAAACTAAAACACTACACTCTAGTATTATTAACACCAATCATATTCACAATACACAAAAACCCATGGCAACGCATTTCACCCCATCCAATCACATTAATCCACCCACTAATCCAATTAGACGCTATAAACGTCTCCAAGCTAAAAAGCACGTGTAAATAAATATCCTCATTCTGATGAAAGCTCGAAGCAACGAGTCGAAAGCTCAATAAAAATCACTTAAAATCCGGAGAAACTTTTATCTTTTAATGTATAAAATTATCAATATACGTACGTAAGATAGTGACTTTCTCCCTCCTTCAGCGTCCGTCACTCTTGAAGACAAAACATCACATATGGTTGTTGACAAACACAAATTATAACAGTTCATCTTAACCTTGACTTAACAGACATGTTGTCAGTCACTGATCCTGATGCTTGAAGCTCTGTTATGTACGATGTCACCTCGCAACAAACAAAATCACGGAAAGGTGGTAAAGGAATTGTGGCAAAGTGAAGTCTGTCATGCTTTGGAAACTTTGTATCGAAGACTCGTCTCCGATATTTCATCAATGCTAAATAATTTGAGAGTGTCAAAAGATCAACACATCGTATGTAGTCTTTGTTAAAAATACTAGATCTCGGAGACAAAAAAGTGTTTTACAAGTATGAAAAGAAATTTCACTTTCATGAACAAATTCTCTGTACGTCAGAGAACAAATCAATGAGCTCTTTCAAATGTGTCACATTCACAGACTTAAAGGATTGTCTACGTACGTACGCACCTGCGCAGTAATGGCTCAATCAACATTTCCTGTGTTGTCTATAAAAAGAATAAAATTGTATCATAGGAAGAGTAACTGATACCAGAAGAGGTCTATCTACAGGTGTCCCAAAAAACGGAACGCACATAAATTAATTATGTATTCGCTGAAATTTCCATGCAAAATAATGTAATTAGCTATTTTCAAGAAGACGGGGAAAGGCCAGCGAGGGCCTTATGTTACTGAGTGTTGAAGATATTGGTTGAGTTACAATGTGAAGATTACTTTGCAATTTTTTTAGCCTTCAGTCATAAAATTCTATGATAAAAGTCTAAAAGGTATACACCTCTGAAAATCTGCCAGGAACCACAAGTTACATAGAATAATGAGATAATTGTCCCAATGAAACTCTTTTTACAAATATGTGATGATATAAATGTTAAGTATATACATAATATGCTATCTGTTTGCATTCTATATTTTAGTCACTTATTGGTTAATTATTTTGAAGGTAGTGACACAGGTGCCCCAAGTTTATAGAGACATCAATGGTGTAACAGAATTTCTCAAAAACAGCAAGATTTGCAAATGTTATTGCATATCAGATTTTTCAGCCAGGTTGTTTGACTAAACACTGTACTCACTTAGAAATTCTTTAAATTTCATTTGGCGTACATTCTGAAAAAGGTAAAAAACAACATTTCAAGACCTGGAATGATATATTGATGTAGTGGAAAAGCTGGAAAAAAACTTGCAAACTTGGATATGCCAATGATCTTGAAGGATGGGATCTAGTTTTGACACGACTGGTTGTGCTTAGGTAATGAAAGACTTGTCCTAAAATACCAAACATTGTATTATTTCATCACAAACAAAACAGCATACAGTACTCGTAACAGACTAAAAACTGTATTCTTTTTCACATGCAACTTTAAAAGTGACAAGTAAATAGTTGGTTTAATTTACATTGGACCTACTTATCTCTTGATGTATGACACAGACGTTTATATGGTGGTGAGCCATATAAGTCATTTACATTGGACCTACTTATCTCTTGATGTATGACACAGACGTTTATATGGTGGTGAGTCATATAAGTCATTTACATTGGACCTACTTATCTCTTGATGTATGACACAGACGTTTATATGGTGGTGAGCCATATAAGTCATTTACATTGGACCTACTTATCTCTTGATGTATGACACAGATGTTTATATGGTGGTGAGTCATATAAGTCATTTACATTGGACCTACTTATCTCTTGATGTATGACACAGATGTTTATATGGTGGTGAGCCATATAAGTCATTTACATTGGACCTACTTATCTCTTGATGTATGACACAGATGTTTATATGGTGGTGAGTCATATAAGTCATTTACATTGGACCTACTTATCTCTTGATGTATGACACAGATGTTTATATGGTGGTGAGCCATATAAGTCATTTACATTGGACCTACTTATCTCTTGATGTATGACACAGATGTTTATATGGTGGTGAGTCATATAAGTCATTTACATTGGACCTACTTATCTCTTGATGTATGACACAGATGTTTATATGGTGGTGAGTCATATAAGTCATTTACATTGGACCTACTTATCTCTTGATGTATGACACAGATGTTTATATGGTGGTGAGTCATATAAGTCATTTACATTGGACCTACTTATCTCTTGATGTATGACACAGATGTTTATATGGTGGTGAGTCATATAAGTCATTTACATTGGACCTACTTATCTCTTGATGTATGACACAGATGTTTATATGGTGGTGACCCATATAAGTCATTTACATTGGACCAACTTATCTCTTGATGTATGACACAGACGTTTATATGGTGGTGAGCCATATAAGTCATTTACATTGGACCTAATTATCTCTTGATGTATGACACAGACGTTTATATGGTGGTGAGCCATATAAGTCATTTACATTGGACCTAATTATCTCTTGATGTATGACACAGACGTTTATATGGTGGTGAGCCATATAAGTCATTTACATTGGACCTAATTATCTCTTGATGTATGACACAGACGTTTATATGGTGGTGAGCCATATAAGTCATTTACATTGGACCTAATTATCTCTTGATGTATGACACAGACGTTTATATGGTGGTGAGCCATATAAGTCATTTACATTGGACCTACTTATCTCTTGATGTATGACACAGATGTTTATATGGTGGTGAGTCATATAAGTCATTTACATTGGACCTACTTATCTCTTGATGTATGACACAGATGTTTATATGGTGGTGAGCCATATAAGTCATTTACATTGGACCTACTTATCTCTTGATGTATGACACAGATGTTTATATGGTGGTGAGTCATATAAGTCATTTACATTGGACCTACTTATCTCTTGATGTATGACACAGATGTTTATATGGTGGTGAGCCATATAAGTCATTTACATTGGACCTACTTATCTCTTGATGTATGACACAGATGTTTATATGGTGGTGAGTCATAAAAGTCATTTACATTGGACCTACTTATCTCTTGATGTATGACACAGATGTTTATATGGTGGTGAGTCATATAAGTCATTTACATTGGACCTACTTATCTCTTGATGTATGACACAGACGTTTATATGGTGGTGAGCCATATAAGTCATTTACATTGGACCTACTTATCTCTTGATGTATGACACAGACGTTTATATGGTGGTGAGTCATATAAGTCATTTACATTGGACCTAATTATCTCTTGATGTATGACACAGACGTTTATATGGTGGTTAGCCATATAAGTCATTTTCATTGGACCTACTTATCTCTTGATGTATGACACAGACGTTTATATGGTGGTGAGTCATATAAGTCATTTACATTGGACCTACTTATCTCTTGATGTATGACACAGATGTTTATATGGTGGTGAGTCATATAAGTCATTTACATTGGACCTACTTATCTCTTGATGTATGACACAGATGTTTATATGGTGGTGAGTCATATAAGTCATTTACATTGGACCTACTTATCTCTTGATGTATGACACAGACGTTTATATGGTGGTGAGCCATATAAGTCATTTACATTGGACCTACTTATCTCTTGATGTATGACACAGACGTTTATATGGTGGTGAGCCATATAAGTCATTTACATTGGACCTACTTATCTCTTGATGTATGACACAGATGTTTATATGGTGGTGAGTCATATAAGTCATTTACATTGGACCTACTTATCTCTTGATGTATGACACAGACGTTTATATGGTGGTGAGTCATATAAGTCATTTACATTGGACCTACTTATCTCTTGATGTATGACACAGATGTTTATATGGTGGTGAGTCATATAAGTCATTTACATTGGACCTACTTATCTCTTGATGTATGACACAGATGTTTATATGGTGGTGAGTCATATAAGTCATTTACATTGGACCTACTTATCTCTTGATGTATGACACAGACGTTTATATGGTGGTGAGCCATATAAGTCATTTACATTGGACCTACTTATCTCTTGATGTATGACACAGACGTTTATATGGTGGTGAGTCATATAAGTCATTTACATTGGACCTACTTATCTCTTGATGTATGACACAGATGTTTATATGGTGGTGAGCCATATAAGTCATTTACATTGGACCTACTTATCTCTTGATTTATGAAACAGACATTTGAATGGTGGTGAGCCATATAAGTCATTTACAAGAAAAGATAATCCAATATAATTTCAATACCTTAACAACTTTAATGCTTGGACTCTTATAAGCATTTGCAGTCTGTGCTTTGGCTTTTTAAATGCATTTTACTATTCTTTCACTCCTGTTCTTTACTGTAGAAATACAAATACATATGCTTAAAATCACAAACATCTTCAGCGGATGATTGGTTACTTCATCCATAACAACACTTAATGTATAGACTTAATTCTTGTGCATTATTTGTACACAAAACCATGTAAAATTTTTATAGGTCAAAGCAGACGTAATCTTGATGATATACACCTCAGTTTAGGGTGTGCTCTAAAATTTCTTCGGGGGTACAAAATAAGGTTTTGAAAATAATAACAACATGGGAGGTTTGAATTAAATCAACAGCTGATTTCAAATTTATTATTATTTTTATCCTTAATAATTACATGAACAGTCAATGATAATACACAATTTTGTTCACAAATTTACCTTTGAGTAGAAAATCTTCTATAGAATCGTTCAATTTATTTTCTTGTTCATCAATCGACATGGATGTATTTAATACCGTAATAGGGCAAAATGTTCAGTTTAATTCCCTTGACTCTGTCTGCCAACCTTCTTTGGGACTTCTCGCTTTCTTTTCGGTGCCATTCACCTTCACTACAACTCTATATATCTGTATATCTTTAACATAGGCAGAAAATTTTGCTCCGATATTCAAAATTTGAAGTGAAGTAACAAATATTTCAAAAACATTGCTCGCTTAAATTCTCAAATTTTGCGCGGTCATAATCAAGTCGTTTTCTTAATGGTTTCCATCCATCAAAACTACATTTATATCACAGTCTAACGGGAGAAAGACTAGGACCTGATAAATATTGAAAGTGAAACAAAAAGAAAATTTACGTGCTTACATCATGTTTAGGTAAAGCTTCTCATTGGCTGAAACGCGTCACATGCTCACTGGATATCATTCTCTGATTATGCTCTCACTTTATAGCAAGAGTGTATGAAGTATATTACATTGATCATGATGTTTGCTATTCATAGCTCAGGCTTTTATAACAAAGAAAATGTTTTAGTAGTTTTCATACGGTTGATGAAGCTGTCAACTGCATCAATTTTACAACGTTTGTAGCTACTTTGTAGTGGTAAATCTTTTGTCGAGATTGTTTACAGAAGTTGGTCGGCCCATATTGGCCATCTACACCTAAACCTTTGAACAAAATTTTGAAGAATTATGGTATTCAAATTTCAAAGAGAGAACGGTTGGTATAGCAAATGACAAGATTACTTTATTTTGTTGGTTATGTCGGTGTAATTTTTGTTCATTTAGTATGTAGCTCAAGTAAGAAAGACGTCCTTGCCCCAAGTTGGTATAAATGTGAGTGCTCGGAAATAATCTTTCGTCAAACTGAATTGAGTGGTTTCTTGGGAGAGGAAAAGTGTGAAGACAATATGTCTCCCAGGTCCGTTTCAACACTTCATTCCAACTTTCGAAATTTTCAATTGGCTTAACTTCGACTTTGTCATTGTCTGTTTTTTCAGCTTTCCATGCAATGAAGAAAGTCCATCGAGATTCGCTCATTACAAAAGCTAGCGTGTTGCCTGTTGTATCATAAATATGTGTAGAACAAATTAATTTCATGTTCCTGTGCGTTTTCTGTTATAGCAGGAAGTATTAAGACAGGTAGCTCTTTGTAAAGTCAATTGTTTTTCATAAAAAATTGTCCGAAATCTTAGTCCCATTTACAGAAATCGCATGCAATGTAAGAGAAGACAGCAATTTTGCATCAAACGACAATGATTATCGACAATGAAAGTGAAACAAAAATGAGACACAAAGACTATAGCAACTATGAAATAAATATATCACAGATGAAAATTGACAACTTTTCTAAAAGTGACTACCGCAAAGAATGTCGAAACGTCAGTCAATACGAGCACCAACAGTCAACGACTGGATATACATCAACAAAGATGTAAGATTAAGTCAATTGCAGTTCGCAATGGCCATAGGAGTTGAATAACTGCAATCAAAAACTAAGTTATCTCTAAAATCTGATAGTTCCGTAAATTATGATTTTAAAATTTCCAATTTTCGTTTGCACGGCCATTATCATTATACGCAGCGAAATCTAGATACTTTATGCATGGGCAAAATGCAAAATTAGCCATTGATGTGCTATGCTTTAACGGCCAACGACGAGTATCCTCGTCAAAAACAAGTAATAAGCATAAATTTCTAGCCATTTCCTGGGTAAAATGGTTTAATATCACAAATTGTAAGTGCAGTTCCGATTGAAAATTTTGCTGCCCTTCCACTTTCCGTTGATATTGAATCATGAATTGTCAAGAAGATCACGAGGATATCTCATGTTTAAGAAATTTGCTTTGTTTGTATTCTTCGTGTGAACGCGAAGTCATCAATAATATAGTCGCCATGTTTAGGGCTGGTAATCTGGCTCTTGTACAGCCAATAACTAGATTTTGGCTTTTTTGCCTTTTGGCTGCATTTGTCCTTCACCAATTCTATGGACTGTAACTTTTATGTCATTTGAACCGTTACAGTGATGAGACTGTCACAGTTATTTTTGCTACACCGCGAAATTTAGTATTCTTCGGAAAAAACGCTTACAACGCACAATTAGGAGAAGATCCATATTTTTTATCAGCAACATGTCCCTCAGTTTACCAAGTTGATATTTTAATAATAGCAGATAATCTTTTCAATTATTTAAAAATTAAAATTTCATGTAAGTTAGTATGACGATGCATATGTGAGAAATGTTTAGTACCTACGCTCCCATGATTAGCTACAGTGTCTAAATCCCATGTGTATGAGAGTCTTTATACTCGGTTTCCTGTCATATAACGCTTACTTTTTATCAAACACTATTTGAATTTGTGTACCTTGAATAAATATTTATTTTTCTTAATGCAAAGTTGCCATGCTAAAGCATATTCTATGTATCTAATAATCCATGAGTGGATTCTGAAAAAACAGCAAGGAAACAAACTCGATAACATGCAAGTCGCACCAAAAATAACGCCCGAGAAGAAACAAAGAAGCTTTGAGCCATGAGAGATAGCTAATATAAGCCATCTGTTAAGGACGTTGAACTGTATGAATAAATGTTCAATAGTTAAGAACTATTTTATATTCCTGCCATTTTTCCGCATTTGTTTTCTTTCGTAACGTAAACTTATCTACTTACCTTTAAGTTTCGTTGTTCTTGTTAACGATTCTCCAATACATTTGAGAAAGCTTCAAACTCATACAGCAACGAATCATCTAAGATTTTTCTTGATACAATGTAACGGATGCAATGTGGTTGTTCTGCATAATCTAAATGAAAAAAATGACAAGGGAAAATCATTCTGTAAACTTCCTAAACAATCATTATCAAAAGCCTTAACAAATATGTATATTGCATGTCTGGGTACCACTGACTGGAATATGGAAATTGGAATATCAATTTGACTATAGATATGGAGAAATTTTCTATACAACTACGGTCTAAATGGCAACTACCGAGGCAACTGTTTCAACTGATAAGTATTAACAAATGAAAATGCGATAATTGTCGCGGTTGAATTTCAATTATTGTCGCGGTTGAATTTCAATTTTGACGAGTGCGAAATTGAAATCAACGTATGAAAGAAATATGTCACTTCCGGATAGATGTTCCCGATGTAACATGTGCATTTGTGATTTGCACTAGCAAAAGACGGTTAAACGGTAGTTTTGTTCACAAATTACTTGGCAAAATCATTAAGCTGGTCTTGCAAAGGTCCTATATTGATATTAAATAAAGTGTTAAAACAATTCAAGTGATAATTTACAAAAATTTCTGTCCTTTCACAAACATGGTACTCTTTTCTTGAACATGGATTGACTTATCATTTCTCTGAATCTAAAGACAGATGGCTATTGTTTAATTCAGATAAATTCCTATTTCTCCATATTCGGACTTCGGAGGATTGATAGCTATCAGTCAATTGAAAATTTAGAGTAAAAATGTATTGAAAAAGAAGCTTGTTGTATAATTTAGGATATTTCATTTATATTTTTTATTGCATGCCAGATTTTATAAGTTCCCATGCAGAGTCTTATGTGTGCCAAAATTATAATTAAAAATTAGGGTGTATATACTTAACACTTCCTAAGTATTTTCTCTCTTAATTAATTCACGTTGTAGTAGTGCACGTAAGTCACGATATGTAAACATATAAATAGACTCAAATTTGTAATAGTCAAAAAGATTGTTTAGATTGGTCATTGCTAATAAACTCCATAAAACAAACCGAATCAGAGTGCAGATCAATTTTCTGGACGAACTCAGTGAATTCTGCGACAAGTGGTCCTTCGAGCCGGATAGTATGGAGGAGTTAGCAAGAAAGAAAAGAGTACGAGCAGGTCATCGCGGTTACCTGACGAAAGTTGTGGCGTCGGCAGCAGGCTTAGTCGACGCATTCGATGAATGAAGAAAGAATGACGCGGAACAGCAACGCGACAAAATCTTGGAGACAGACGCTATGCTCCAAAAACTGGATGAAGACATCCTTAACTTGATTGCTGGGGACGAAGAAGCGTCAGAACTTGACATTGTCAGCGAAGTCGAGGAAGCTAAAAGAATAAGTTCTGAAGCAAAGTCGATGGCGAGGAAGCTTCGCCAAAAGATTGACGGCAATTGCGCTTCGGAAAATAGAATGAACAGTTCGTTAAGGTCTGACGGAGGAGCGTCGGTGACCAATAAAACAGTTTGCGCAAAATTGCCAAAGCTGCACGTTAAGCGGTTCAATGGAAATGTTTGCGAATGGCAGGAGTTTTGGGATTCCTTCGAAAGCGCCATTCACGAAAATGGAAGTTTGTCCGACGTTGACAAATTCAATTATCTTTGGGGACTCTCAGGCGAACCAGCGAAGTCATGTATCGCGGGATATTCTTTGACTTCGGCGAACTACAACGCTGCAATAGACGCGTTGAAGGAACGCTATGGGAAGCCAGAATCGGTCCAACGAGCGCACATGCAAAAACTTCTGAATTTAGGTAGAGTGAAAGATCCGAGAGATATTACGTCTCTTCGTCACTTGTGTGATAGTGTCGAAGCACATCATCGAGGTTTGGATGCATTGGGAGTGGACAGCGCTACGTATTCATCAATCGTGGTACCTTACGTTTTGAACTTGATACTGGAATCGATTCGATTGTTGATCACGAGAGGCGAAAACTTCCATCAGTGGGATATGGACGATATGTTAAGAGCGTTAAAGTGCGAAGTTGAGCTGCGAGAAGAGCATCGAGTTCAGAGAGAGCAACGAGAACGGCATGGTGATCCTGAGAAGTCATCAAATGGAGCCAGGCGGAACGATACGAAAACAGCAAGCGCCCTCCTGACAAAATCGGGACCGGTTCGTTGCGCATTCTGCCTGGGATGTCATCGGCATGAAAAATGTGAGAAGATCAAGTCAATTGAGGAACGTAAGAATATTATTAAGAAATACCGTCGTTGTTATATTTGTTTAGAAAAGGGCCACATGGCTCGTGACTGTGACAACAATATTAAATGTAGTATATGTAAGAAGAATCACCACAAGGCTCTGTGTGATTCGGGAAAGGAAAGTAAGCCCCAGAGAACTGTTGGACAAGGGGAGGTTGGGAATGTAGATGCCAATAGTAGTAATACTCTATTTGTAAGTCCTAAGAATAGTTGTGAAAAAGCAGGATGCAAACTGCACAAGCAAAACTGGTTGGTAGTAAGTCGGGACGAGTAAGGGTTTTGTTGGATTCTGGGAGTCAGAGATCATTTGTTACTGAAAGGACGGCTAAAGCGTTGGGATGTAAAGTCGTTCGTGAAGAAAATCTGAGAATAGGAACGTTTGGGAAAGGGGCTTTAGAGAACGAGTTAAGAAGGGTTGTGCGATTGGATTTGAGTTCGTTGTCGGGTGGTGAAGTCATATCTATCGATGCATATGTTGTACCAGAAATATCAGTAATTAGTAATCAACATTTGGAGGTGGTTCGAAATAACTTTGAACATTTGAAGGGGTTGTGGTTGTCTGATGTTTGTAAGGTAAATGAGGAATTGGAGGTAAACGTACTCGTGGGTGCGGATTACTTGTGGTCGTTGCAGAAGGTCGTATTATGTGAGGGAAGCAGGGGGAGCCTGTGGCTATCGAGACGGTGCTAAGATGGGTAGTTTCAGGGCCGGTTGGAAGCACGGATAAGAATCAACCCACCACTGCTCAGGTAAATTTTTGCTCCGCTAATAAAACTTGTATCAACGTAGAAAACTTTTGGGATTTAGAAAGCCTAGGAATTAAGGACAAAGTAAGTGATGTGCATGAATCGGTCATAAACGATCTTAGTTTTGACGGTACGCGTTATTCAGTGGGGTTGCCCTGGAGGGAGGGTCACGATCCTTCACCTACTAACTATGACTTAAGTCTTAAGAGAATGAAGGGACAAATCAGACGACTAGGTAAGAACCCAGAATTACTGAAGGAATATGACAGTATCATTAAGGCCCAAGAAGAGTTAGGCATCATAGAGAGGGTAGGAAAAGATAGTGTGATTAATTCTCATGCCAAAATACATTACATGCCTCATCAAGCTGTCGTGCGAAAGGATGCCAAGACGACAAAGGTTAGAGTGGTTTATGACGCAAGCGCTAAAGTACTCAAGTCAAGTGTCTCTTTGAATGATTGTTTGCATATCGGACCTTCACTTAATCCACTTTTGTTTGATATTCTGCTTAGGTTCCGTGAGCAAAGGATAGCGCTAATAGCGGACATAGAGAAGGCCTTCCTAAACATTGAAGTGCACGAAAGGGATCGAGATAGCCTAAGGTTTTTGTGGGTAGATGATGTACTGCGCAACAATTTGAATCTTGTAGTTTACCGTTTTTGTAGAGTCGTGTTTGGGGTGAATTCGTCACCATTTTTGCTTAATTCGACGTTAAGGCATCATATTAGCAAATATTTACAGTGCGATAGGGAATTTTCAGAAAAACTGCTAAAAAGCTTTTACGTGGACGATCTTGCCAGCGGTGAATCTAGTACAGAGCGAGCGTATCAGCTATATCGTAAGGCCAACGAACGCATGAATGAAGGCGGATTTAAGTTACGCAAATGGCGGACTAATGTAGTGCGTTAAGATCGCAAATTGAAGAAGATGTGCGTGACGTGGAAAGTAGTTGCGTTGATGAGCAAACGTATGCGAAAACCACGCTTGCTCAAGTACAGGGTCAATTTGGTAAAGTATTAGGGTTGGAATGGAATAGCGTCGGGGACGTAATAATATTCGATTTCGAAAATTTGAGTGCGAAAGCGGAAAACACGGAACCGACGAAGAGAAATGTGTTGAGTCTGTTAGCTTGTATCTTCGATCCATTAGGGCTCTTGAGTCCTACGATTGTTAAAGCGATCGTGACTAAAACACCACACGAGTACATACGAGTACATACGAGTAACATACGAGTGACATACGAGTGACATACGAGTACATACGAGTAACATACGAGTAACATACAAGGGGAAACATTACATCCCGGGCGGAGAGAGAGGGTGCGTCTGCGATGCATTATGGTCAGTGTAGTGGATAAAATGGTATTATTCAACTACTCCCATTTATCCCAATGATTTATATTCAGTGAACTGTAATAACAACAATGTTGTAATTACAGTTCACTGTTTATAATTGAAAATGATAAAAGATAAGATTAGAGGGTCAGCAAAAAACGATGTACATGTTGTATGAGTTCATGCTACGTAATTGATCGCTGAATACGAAAACTTTTTTCTGCACTCGTCAAAAGCAGGTATGTTACGTATGTATTCTCCTTTTCGTATTTACTGTTTTTGTATTTAAACTGTAATCAATTTTTGACTTTTAAGTTACGCAACTAAATTAAGAAACTACAACCATGCTTTTAGAGTGTATAATGCAAAAGGTTTGTAAGCAGAATACAGGAAATGGATAGGACGTTATGACAAAGTTGTGCTAAGCTTTAAGTGCTACCTATTCAAGTTTACTTCTTCTAAATCCAGCACAATCATTGAAGCACTTATGACTGTTTGCCTGTTTCCTTGGAAACTTATTTAATGTAAAGATGATAAATGTACACATTTGTATGATATCAATGCCAATAATTTTAGCATGGACAAACAAAATAGTTGGAGAGGGCAGCAGAAAAGTCTAAATTTAAACAGCTCGAATGGAAAAACTGAAAGCATTTGTCGCATCCAAGCCAGTCTTCACCATCATTATCTTTGCAGATTTTGCAAACACCAGTATTTCGTCTACAGCAAAACAAAGAAATGAATTTAAAATGAATTTAAGTTTCTCATCCACTGTATAATGCTTTAAAGACTTTGGTTAAAACATACTCATGAATATCATCATAGCAAGAGCCAAATATGAGTGATATTAGTTTCTCTCTCTCTAATTCCATTTTAAAATTTCTGTTTAGGCTTGAATTTTCACAAATACACCTTGCAAACTGTGAAAAGGAAATTGTTAAAATTAATGTACAGGAATAACCATATATATATAATTATATATATTTATATGCATTGTGATTTGTAGGCATGGTTTGCATTTTGTAGAAATCTAGTGCCATAACTACAAGAAATGAGCAATGTATAAATTAATAGAATGGATTGTAAAATCTCTGTGGGAGTGCTCACTTACAAGGCAAATGAGTACACCACAATTAAAGCTGTCCTGCTGTGAGAAATGTAATGGCTCGATACATGACCAAAATTGAGAATGCCAACCAGTTTTCATGTCAGCAATTTCACTAAAAAATACAGTAGCAGTACTTTAAGTATTGCTTTTCATCAAACTTGATACTTAAGATATCTCTCTGCTCTGCATAATGTAAAACTTCAAACTTACTTCCCTATTTATATTAGACCAATTACATTCACATGTCTTAGGTAATGATTCTAATTTGTACTTAATGCCATGCAAGGAAGCAAGTAATTTGCCTCTTACCCCCCTCAAAGAAAATCCTGTTATGCCTTGTAAACACCTTTACAATATTTTTTTAAATCTTTGTTTAAGTAATCAAACCTTATCTTGTCTATAAGGTCCATAAGATGCGGGTGTGTTTGAAAATCAATTGTTATTTCCTTTTGTCCATTCATGGGGTCAATGAAGTATCGTATTTTCTTAGATTTGTCAATTACCTATTGGCAAAGTTAGAAATAAGTGGAAAATTCTTTATATAAATTGTCATAAATAATTCATATGATGGTAGAAAAAATTTCCTTCAGTCTTGAAGAGTAAAAGAGTAAATCTTTCAGTGTTCTTATGCGAGGACCACAGAGCACATTTTTCATTAAGGGGGGGGGGTATGTATCCATCCACCACTAAAGATGCAAAAGTTAATAGTTGCAAGATTTGGATCCAAAGACAAATCTAAAATTTTCAAAATTGAGGGCCATAGTCCCACCTCCACCCTCCCTGACTCTGCATTCCCTGTTACATGTAGTAGTTACTACATTTGCTCACCAGCAATGTCCAATGAATACCATACTCGTTAATAGGAACAAATATTTTGACACAGAAGAAAAACATTGGCCAGACCACAGCAAACGGGTGCTAGCCCCACGTTTGGCTATTGTTGTCAAAGATGCATCTGCAGCGAAAACATTATATTCCAAAGTCAACATCCACAAAGATGCTTCCACCACCTGAAAATGAACGAACACTAACTTGGTATGGAGGAAAGACTTAATATGTACATTTTATTAGTAACAGTGTATTTTTAGAACCATTTTTCCCTTAGTCACGCAAATCCTACGCTCTATCATGTTCGTATATTTTATACCTTCACTCAGGGCAGTCAGGGGCATCAATAGGGAAGAAAAATTTGGCAATAACATCATGTTTTTACATATTGTGTACATTAGATTCAATCGCAAATTCAAAGTATGGTGCGCTGCAGCAAATGACGAGCGGGTTAATTTTTCAGAAATAACCACGTTAGTGTAGTTTGTTACGAGCAATACCTAATACGAGACAGAAAACGATTCTATTACAGCCCATTTTGTTTTACTACCTAATGGTGATATGAAATTATTCCTAGTAAGATTCATTATGTTATTTTGTTTTCTTAAAGTAGGGAGTGCCCCTACTATAAGAAAACAGGGGGGATGCCCCCTAAATATAAAGGGACGAAAGCCCCCATAGCTACCATTTTCTAACTCCCCTGTCTTCACTGGTTATTTAGCCTAGACGCTTACCAACCTTATCAATTAGCCAACCAGGATGGAAATTTGTTAATGACGATGTCTCTAAACTGTGCATACGTGCCACTTTAGGCGGAATAAGTGTCCACAAATCGCCGAGTGTTAGTTGTGTCTGCCCGAAATCTAACAATACGTCGTGCAATTTGAACCCCATCTTTTTGCATTTATTAATCTTGACAAGGGTTCGTGTTTTCTGCTTGATTCAAAGAAAGGATATTTAAAGCTGTTATATACCATAAATACTAGGGAATTATCCAATAAATTGTATAAAAATGGACATTTGATTTATACGTTACCGTTGGGAATGATCACCACAACCCTTATTTGCGTCAAAGTCTTCTTGCGGGAAGCTAGTACGTTGTGCGACTACAATGTCTGAATTGTATAGTGCATCATCCTCAATCCCTTCAATTATGCAAATGGGTATTTTTTCAGTTTTCTACAGAAACAAAATCATACCCGATGGTGAACGATATATTGATTATAATTATTTTAGTAAATACTTAGCAATGTCTTTTCATACGGCCCCTTAACTTCTGCTTGTGATCTTGCTTCACTACATCATACGTACCTGAGCTAGTGAATCCTTTTTCTCCATTTTTTCGTTTTGGTAGGCTTTTGTGGAAAACTTGATGGTATTCTGTTTTATTGATTTTTAGTTTCTTTTCACCGGACTACTTCGAAGCAGAATTCCGTTTGCATTTGGGCAAGAAGATATTAGTTTCTGGTGTATTTTGTCTACCGATTCTATAGCTGCTTGAAGATCACCAACTTTATCAACGAGAAAGGACGTGTTTTTTATAGCATCCAGTTTCTCATGAAGAACTTTTCTCAACTTGGGTGTGTCGTGATTTTGAAATTTTCCTTCGCACAATTTAGAATTAAAAGCAGGATGAAAAGACTTTTCGGATTTATCTGCAGTGCTTTCGATGTCGCATTTGGTGTCTTCCGGCGTTTCTATGGTTGTTGATTTTCCTCTGCTGTTTTCTCTGAAATATCATAGTTTATAATGGTGAAATGTTCATTATCAAGTGTAATGAAAACGCTATTTCTGTAGTGATCAGGCAAAGAGTCGAAACTCCACTCTAGATTGGCGGAAAATATTGCAAAAAAATGTTTGCAAGGGTAATGAGTCTTCTTCCAAGCTTTGCAAGAACACTCTGGTTTGCTCAAATTTACAAGATGCCTTTCACGTGGGTTGGCTAAACTTCTGATATGAAACTCCCCCTTTTGGAAATTAACTGCTGAAATATCAGAGGTATTGTACTCTGTGGCGGCATAACGACTTTTAAGGCAATGTTTTACGAATTGTGGAGGTCTGTCTCTTAAATAAATTGGAACGCTTTTGTTATACATTGCATATGCACTACTAAACATAAGGTTTTTTTGCATATAGCCCTGGTGAGAGTCAGGAATGAAACACTCTACAATTGTGATTGCAATGCCATACACAGATTTATCCACTGATCTTGGTAAATATTCGTATTTAAATAGCTTGTTCATTGCCTCTGTGCCATTGTTAGTGTTGACGACGTTCACTGCTTGTTGTGTTCGAAACGCATGGACCCAACGTGCCGAACACGAAAGCCATGTGTTTTCAGTATATTCTTTAACTTTTTCATAGAATCCAGACTTCCGTAAGTTGGTGACTTCGGCATCATACTCACTCTCTGTGCTTGCAAATGATATTCTCTGCATTTGGCTCAGGAACATTTCCTGTTCTTCTGGTGTTAGGTTGTGCTTCTTTGCTTTTGACCATCTTTGCATGGCTTGAATTCTGTGGAAATCGCAGATGTAGACTGTTATGTCATGAAACTGTTCTTCGATCGCCCCAATCTCGGCTGTTGAATAGTCGACCATGAAATACTTAGGGGTCCAATCACGATTCCATGATTTGACAACGTTCAAAGCTTCACTGATAGATTCTCTGTCCTCTGCTTGGCACATGAACTCGGCCACGACTTTGTAGCCAACATTTGTGTGAACACAAATGAAGAACAGGGGGTATCGCATACTTCGTTGTTTTGTATGTAGCATCCATCAAAACAAGCTCGTATCCATATCTTGTCAACAAACGCTGCTGCCATTGTTCTTGATGAACAAACAAAAAGCTTTGCTCTGCGGATACTCTTTCGCTGTCGTTATTTCTCTTTGTCGTTTCCTCTCGCATCCTATAAAAAAAAAAAATTCGAAGTGGGATCTTTTGCTTTCCACTCGTCAACTTTCCTTGCCAGTGCTTCCTGGTCATCGTCGCAAGATTTGAAAGAAGAAATGGCTCTACCAATGTGATTTCGAATGTCTTGCCGGGATGGATAGTATCGTCGATTTGCTTTTTTGGGAACCTGTGTTTTTGGAACATCTCGAAATAGATCGTTCTCTACGAAATTGTCCAGCCATCGCTTTACTTCAGCAACGCTGGTAATATTTTGTTCGACCAAATCATAGATTTTTTTCACGACACGTGAATCGACGTATTGGCCAATTGATAACTCAGTTCCCACTGGGTGTTTTTGGTGAGCAGAGCTTAGCGGTATCCTTAGGTAAAATCGCGTGGACCTACGGACTTTTGCGTTCTCTTTATTAAAGGCCTCGTTTAGTTTAGTTAGAAGCGTACGTTTGGCAACTTTTATGGCGTTGTTGGATTGACAAGCGTTTTTGTCCATGAAGTAATCATCAAAAATCTCGATGCAGCGAATTTGCAAAGTTGCAGGGCACTGGAGTTTTCGACTGTTTTGTAGTCTAACTCGCTGTTTCTTTTCATATTCGTGGTCTCCCACTGACTGTACACTATAACCTCCTCTTCCATCCTGGATGTGTAATAAAGCAACGCAATTTTTTACCCGCTATATATATGTAAAAAGCCCAAATATTTCTTCTTTAATGTATAGCGAATGTAATTCTCTTTCTTACTGAATAAGATTTTTAATAGTTAACTCTACAAACATTTTTATAGGCAGTGTTAATAACTAGAAATTTTGATAAAAGACTTTTTATATCTTTGATGTTGTTGTCTGGTGATTGATCATTGATGTTGATTTACGTACCTTATTAGGTCCATGGAGACAATGCCGCGTTTCTGTGCTTTTATAGAGAATGGCTTGCCAAAAACGAAATTGGAAGATATCCTCTTTGTCTTCAAAAACTGCATGATCTACGAGAACATGTATTGTAATTCATTCTATAGCTGAGTTACAACATCTGCGCGATCATTGTTTTTCGTGTTTTCCAATCAACCCATTTTTGGAAAAAACGATATTTTCAATTAAGTGTGTTAAGTGGGATTATTCAAGCGTATTTGCGTCGTCGGGATCTTATTTCAAGCAACACATGTATTTGTCCAAAAACTCTGACCAGCCAACAATTTAAAAAAATATAATATAAAACAAATTCTGAAAAAACAGGACATCTTGAGATTGCAAAATATCAATCAAAACAAGACGAGAAGTGAACTGTAAATTTTCGACTTTATTTCAAAGTCATCCTCAGACACGTATTTGTAAACCTTGCTTGCGGCCTAACTAACATTAGCATGATTGGTTTCATGTTATCCGTGTTCATTTAAGTTGCTTGGATGTAAGATTGACGAAGTCAAACATACAGTTTACGGCTTTTTGGCGTACGCACTTACTTGCTTGAGTAAATCTCTTATTACTCATCTCTTTCGTATGATTTTCGACGGTAACAAAGCTAATAGAATTAATTGCTTGAAGTTTCTGCAAAACAGCCTCCAATTCTTCATTTTTCCCATCAAAGTACGATAAACAATAATCATTTTCAATGTTCACGCCATCGAAATGTTCATTAATGAAACAAATCTCCAAATTTTTCATTGCATTTATCTCATCCATGATTTTATTCGAAGGGAAAAGCCACTTAAACGAATAAGGGAAAAGCCAATATTCATATCAATGATTATTAATCGTGAAAGATGCTTAGGGTTTTCAAAGATTATCAATAATTATCAACTATGATCCACTACACTGACCATTATGCATCGCAGACGCACCCTCTCTCTCCGCCCGGGATGTAATGTTTCCCACATACAAGTACATACGAGTAACATACGAGTACATACGAGTGACATACGACTATTTTCTGGTCAACAAATGCGAAACAACACAATTTCTTCAATACATTGATATTTGCGTTTATTTTTCCTTGTATTTGTGTGGACTTTATTTTGGGGCAACCATTTGATGGATTTAAATGCTGAAAAGGTATTTTACTTTCATACTAAAATACTTTTTGTATAGGGCAATGTATCGTCCCAATTCACGCCACTGTAACAAATTTCTTGAAAGAGAATTT